ACCGCAGGATGTACATAAGTACGTTGGACTGACAGCAAAGCCGACGAGGAAGGAAGGAGAGAAAGCTCAAAATTGTGGAATTATTATTGTGACATTAGATTGGATAAGGTATTTAATGGAACGATCTCTCTCGTCCCTGTCAAACTCTGTCGAACAAAGAAATTTATGAGGGATTTACTCGGATGAGTTGGATAATGTGGGTGGCTGGTCAAAGATGATAAGCACATTAAAAACATCGTAAAATAAACAATTGCCTAGAATATCCGCTTAGAGACGAGGGGAAATAAGGAAAGGGTGCAAAGGGTGAATTGGCAATAAAATATTTTTATACTTTCTCCCATCATGCCAGACTACATCAAGTCGATCGTAAAATAACCCTGGACATGACACATGGCTAGGCCGCTGATGTATGTGCTCACGTTGGTGGCCGTGTCCAAGAAATGTGATTAAGCTTGTTTTGTAGCGATAGTGGAAAAGTCGAGTCAATCTCGGCATTTATTTAACTTGGCGAGACACAACTGCCACCCATGCTTTCCTCCATCCTGAGCAGGGAAATGTAGTGACAGGAGCGAATTGCGGAAGCAGAGTGACAGACAAGCAGTGAGATAGCTCAATCATTTCAAACGTAAAAATTAATTGGGTTAAGGAACTACGCTTATCTGGTAATAAATCACGTTATTGATAAATACATACACTTAGACAAGCATAAAAATGAATTATGAGCAATATCGTTGCCTATACATGTACAATTCTGGACACGATTTGTAGACGGACACGGGGGAAATCACGGCAACCTTTCCACCACTGTCGCTGCGATCTATCCAATCCACCCACGTTCCCAAAATTTATTAATAGCAAAATCACGTGTTTTAGAAAAGGGATTGGAATTACTTATTAGAAATACTTTCACCATCATTCCGTTTTGATTTCATCCATCGAAGCAACAAACAAGCCCTCAGAAATTTATCTTGTTTCGTTAACATGACAGTGTTAAATGTAGCTTCACCTATCAACTCTGAGAGAAAAACAGTCATTTCCAATTTTTTGTAAGTTGAGCTCATTTCAGGAAAAAATCTTCACGTTACATTAAGTTTCTCTCATTTTTTCCCTGTATGAATGAAAGAGATGGATAGATTGTGAATGGAGCATTTTTCTGAGTGGTATATTTCAGAGAGAAAGTGCTGAAGTTGAGAGATGGTCAAACTACATGGATCCCTTTATCGATACACAAGCTCGAAATAGTTGGTTCAGTTTTTGCCTACTTTCACTGCCAATAGCACTATTAATACATACATCAAGCGAGATTACATTCGGACCAATATTTGTCCAGAGCAGTAAAATTATCGATGAATTATTGGCCTAAAAAACAACCTTTCTCGTTCTCTTTCTCGCTTTATTCCATCGTTCCCGATTACACAAAAGAGTAGATACATTTGTAATTAGCTCTTACGTCAAGCAAGTCGTCTAGCCATCATACATAAACATGGTATGTCGGTATTTACTGTATTTAGTTGGACCAAATATTTCACCGATAACCTTAACATAACAACCCCAACTATTACCTGTCTACTTGGTATTTTGACCCTTACTTTTGTGTAAGTCTGTGAAATCAGGAGAAGAAAGAGTAAAATACTTTCCCTTGCACTTTATACCCTCCAAATAATAAGGGAACTGTGACTGTGTGTGAAATCAAATCAAACCAACTTCTCCAATTCAAACAGAGAAGGCGAGAGGGTTCAAATCTAATCCATTGCTTCTGCTACTCTTTTACTCCCCCACACCACTGCCGACGGAACATTCTTCAGTGATATTCAATTTCGAGTAAATGATGTAGAAAACATTCTTTCCAAACAATAAGTTTTCATTTCCCCGCACTCATTTCTTAAACCAATTTCAATTTCGGAGGAGAAAACCAGTTGAATCCAAATCCGGGTGAAAGTCAAGTAGCGTATGTACAAAAAATCCTTCAATTCTCCAACTGAAATTCTATCCAACACCGGCTTCTGAAGGAAGAAAAAAGTGTGTATGCGTACGTACAGATCGGGTTACACCTTAGCTTCTTATTGCCGCCTGACTTTAGTAGTAGCATTACATTCCCATTACATTACACACATACATCCTTTGCTTTGCGTAGTAGTAAAGCCTGTCTCAAATCACGGAGGAGTAGTAGATTGGAAATTGGAAAAGTGTTTCTCTTCTTCTTTTCGAGACTTAAAGTAGTGTGGTAAGTGGTTACATCAACGAACCAGAACTTTCTCCAGGCCACAACCTACCTACCTATCCAGGACTCGTTTACTACTTTTTTACGCCACGCTCCAGCCCCTTCCCGTTGGTGGAGGTAAAAGAGGTATGAAATCTATGGTGGCAAAAAAAACCCTGAAATTACATTAAGTAACCCTTACCTAAGAGAAATCGCCAATCAGGTGGGGATGCCAAATTGTCCCCAGAGAGAAAGAGAGTCAGGAATCAGTGGGGAATCAGGGAAGAAAACGGAAGGAAGTGAGGAAGCTGTGGATTGGATTTTATTTTATACTCATGTCATGACTTTCCCCCCTTTGTTGGATAATACCACCACTTGTAAATTGTTCGTAACTATATACATTATGTATACCCTCACCCAACCAGACATGACCATGCACATTGACACCAAGAGTCATATTATTGCGATCAAACTAACGAAGAAACGACGACAAATGTTGGGAATTTCAACTCGACAACTACGCTATCAAACTGCGTGTGGACCGTTGTGGTTGTGTAAGCGGAATAAAGTAAAACAAATTGGGGAGGACCTACATGTAGCAAAATTTGTTAACAGAGGAAAGTTGTAAAAAAAATCATCAAACTTGGATTGATTACACTGAAATAATGGGGTTATCCGAAACCCAATTGTCTCATTTTTCCTTTCTTTCTATTATTATACAAGAAGGAAAATAATAGTGAGCTGTTGTTGTGTAAGGGACACCACAATTTATAGTTTTCGTTGTTGGGATCCGTCATTCCTACGTCCGTTGGCTTCGTTATCGTGGAGCAGCAGGACGTAAAGTTGTGAAAGTAGTAAATAAGTAACGAACTCTGAAGCGCATACATACAGGATTGCCTTGAATTGATGAGTAACAACTTTACAAATAGTAGAATGGATGGAACAAGAAAAAAAGTTTTCCCTTAAATTTACTCACTCAGACAAAGTAAATGTCTTGGTACATCAACTGTAAATAAGTAGTAAATTGTTCATGTCATGCCATATTATCCATCGTGCTCGATCCGATGGATAATTGGATGACAGAGACAAACTATTTAACTGCAGTAGTAGTAAATTATTAACGAAATAAACTTGGGTGGTGGTTATAAGGTTGGTAAGTTTGGGTAATTTTACTTTGGATAAGTAGTTTTGGATATAAGGTCCAATTTCTTCGTTCTACAGAACGTCATTAGTTTTGTGAGAAAAGTTTATACTACGGAATAATGATGTATTATTAAATGCACAAATATTGAGGACCTAATTTCTGCCATGTTTTTGTAAAGTTTTATATGCATGCGTTTAGACTTTACAATCTCTGTCGAAATGAATAAATTTTAGAAATGGTAAATTCGTCAATATCCATGCAACAACAACGTATGCATACTCATATTTTGCATACTCTCAGAGTGAATAATGAATATGAATTTGAGTATGGTTATATTTATAATCAAAATTAAGAATAATGTGCATGATGTAGATTAAACTGAACTTTTTTAAACGATTGTCAATGAAGATTCATTGAAAGTGATCCAAAAATTTGATCATATACCATCAGTGTTGAGATTAATGCATACTCGGCAACTGTTTCATACATATTTGCACAATATTTAAAATTGCAAGCCACTATATATACAAATTAGCAAAAAATATCGCAGAGTGCACAATAGTTAATTATTTCATTAATTTTGCAGTTTCATTAAGTGCAGCAAAATTGCAGAAAAGATTAGGATGTGAAGAAGATGCAAAAAGATGTGTTATAAAGATAAATTAATGAACAATTTGTGCAAGAAATGAGTTATCAAAAAAGTAAAGGTTACTCATAAATAAAACCAACCATTTATTAGCAGAGAGTTAAAATAAAAAGATCATCTTCAACCGAGAATAATAAAAATCAAAGTTACAGAGTTAAATAGATATAAACCATACACCATCATAAGCTCGCTAAGTAGTACCAGCTTACAGCTAATTTTACAAGTACTGAATTTGAACAATACCTTTCAATTTATACTTCCAAACTTATTTCTCTGCGTATTATTAAATTGGTGTTCTACATGAATTGAGCTTTGAACTGCAACAAGACACTTGTTCCATATTGAATTTGTAATAAATCTGAAAGCTTGTTTCAATTGCAATATCCTGATTGACCTTTTGTGTCATCTGTATACAGTATGCAATATACCGAGTCTTTTCTCTTTTAATTTGACAAATTGCACTTAACGTCACTTGAGCAAGTAGTTGGATTAATAACACATATTGGTATAGCTGGAAAATAAACACTATATTTCAAAAATTTATGCAGAACTCAATCTTGACGCATTTTAGGTTTAGGACTTTCAACTTTCTTTCTCTTCACTGTTCATAATTTAAATGTCAGCTTCAACACACATTCTTGACCATTGAATTAATCCACTCAGAATTGGACACTCCATCGATTCCATTTATTTTAGAGATTCAAAATAAAAAACACTACCGTTTCTTGTTTTAAATGAGAATTTGAAATTCAATGTGAATTTTTTAACACGTTTGAACACGCATCTTTTCCAAGTTGCACAAACGCCGCTTCGTTCCTCAGAACAAATCAACTTATTCGTCCTTTTCTAAACAATTTTTCGAGTTCCATTTTTAAATTTGCCTTTGAAACTCAAAATAAAGTAGAATTTTTAAAACATTTTGTACTTTTATATAAATCTTGCAAGTGTTGACATTCCGTTTTTTAAATAAATTGCGCCAGCTCGAAGTCCCTGTTGGGGTATCGTGACACCCCGCGAAGAAGAACTATCTTGCCGGTTGTTGAGCTTTTCAGTTTTTGTTTTAGAAAAGTTTTTCAAAAATAAAAAAACAAAAACATTCGTTTTACAAGTTCGTTAGTTGAGTGTTTAATTGAGCAGTAGACGTTATCACCGTTGTCAACATGTCACGGGTGGTGTTAATGGTGGCTGAGAAACCATCCGTGGCTGAGTTGATTGCTCAGAAATTGAGTACAAGGGGTATGAGATCAAGGAAAGGTAACTAACGCTATTCAATTTGCATTTTCTGATTTTAATTACTAACTTTTAATGTTTCAGCTCTAAATGGCATTCCGGTTCATGAGTGGGATGGTACGTTTCGAAATCAAAACGTCCTCTTTAGAATGACTGCTGTGACTGGACATGTTTTTGGAATGGATTTTCCAGCAAAGTTTAACTCTTGGGATAAAGTCGATCCGGTAAGATAAATGAGGACTTTTATCATGATGGTTCAGCAATTCATTTTCACGAATTACTGTTTTTCAGGCTGATTTATTTGAATGCCCTATTGCCAAATCTGAGTCTAATGAGAAACAGAGGATACCAATAATGCTAAGGGCTGAAGCACGAGGAGCTGAATATCTGATTCTATGGCTAGATTGTGATAAGGAAGGGGAAAATATCTGCTTTGAAATTATTGACATTTTGCATGAGAATATGCGACTTGTTCCAGCACAGGTGAGTTTAATTGTGTAATTGTAAACAAAGTAAATACTGATAAAGCAAATACGTTTTATTCTTCTGTAAAGACTCTGTTCCGTGCAAGATTCTCTGCACTAACGGAACCTGATTTGAAGGTGGCAATGAATACTTTGAGCGTGCCAAATGAAAATGAATCTAAAAGCGTGGATGCGAGACAGGTACTGGAAGAAAATTTATATAATTTCATTTATTAATTAAAATATTGGTATATTTATTTTATTCGAAACATATAAAACTAACAAATGTTTTAAATTAAACAAGGAATTGGACCTTCGAATTGGTTGCTGTTTTACACGGTTTCAAACGAAAGTTTTTCATGTGAGCCATTTTGCAACTATACAGCTTTGTTTTTGAAAATGTCTATAATAGTTTATGTATAATACTGATCATACCATATTATTCTATTTATTAGGGAAAGTATGGAAGTTTGGATTCAAGTTTGATTTCATATGGTCCATGTCAAACGCCAACACTTGGTAATTAATCTACGTTTTAGTGCATGTAAATGATTACTAATATTAATTTAATAAAATTAATGTTTTTTATAATATAGGATTTTGTGTGAAAAGGCACGACAAAATTCAACAATTTAAGCCAGAAAAATTTTGGGGAATCAACGTAAACAAAATCATATAAAGTTTCAGATGTCTAAAAAACCATTATTTAAAAATTGAAACTCATGACTCATGATAGGTCTCTGTGGGTCTTGATGAAGGTAAAGAAGTAAGTCTTGAGTGGCGACGGAAACGGTTGTTTGATAAAGAATCGGTCGAATTTTTCATGAACACGTTGCGGGACAGTAAAACGGCGGTGTAAGTGCAAAACTATAATCCGTGTACGTATAATTACTAATTTAAGATCTACATCCATCTTTAACTTCAAATGCAGGGTATCATCTGTCAAAAAGAAAGAATGTGTCAAGAAACGCCCAACGGGTTTAAACACGGTTGAAATGTTGCGGTTGGCTTCCTCAAAATTGGGAATGTCTCCCCACCACACAATGCAAATTGCTGAAAGATTGTATACTCAGGGATATGTGAGTTATCCAAGAACTGAAACAACTCAGTATCCAGCCAATTTCGACTTTCGGTAAGATTTAGTCGAGTCGATTTTGATTAATTTGTTTGTGCATATTGTTAATTGGTTCTTTTTAGAGGATTGGTTCGTCAATTTGCAAACCACGACGAATGGTCTGGCTATGTCAACACTGCAGGAATTGTTAATCCAACTAAAGGTCACGATGCTGGAGACCATTCACCAATTACACCGTTGGTTGCAACACATTCAGCAACGTTTCATGATGGAGATTCTTCAAAGTTGTATGGATTCATCGTCCGATACTTTATCGCTACGGTGTGTGATTGTATTATTTACCACAGTTGATTTTATTAAAGAATTATATGCGAATTATTTTTAAGACTTTCTAAAATATTCTACATAGGTGACCGAAGATTGCACTTATTTGGAAACAAACATCGACTTTAGTATTCAAGGAGAAACTTTCAGCTTTCAAGGAAAGGAGATTATTAATCCTGGATTCACCAGAGTTTATCCATTCACAGTGATTTCTAGTGATGACCAAATTCCGCAAGTGAAACAAGGAGCAAATTATTCTATTATTGAGGTAATTAGCATACTTAACACGAGTTGGATACAGCTTTCAACAATTGAGTTCTTTTTAATTTATATATGCAATTTAATATTTCATAGAAAAAGTTATATGAATCAGAAACAAAACCACCAGATTACCTGACAGAATCTGAACTAATTTCTTTGATGGAAAAGCACGGAATTGGTACAGGTAAATAATAGTTCATACTTATTTTAGATATTACCGTCAACCTGAAAAGGTCATGAGACGGTTTCTACATCATTCAATCTCTTGGATGTATGAAATACATATATATATATATATTGTGTTGCAGATGCTTCGATTCCTGTCCACATAAACAATATTTGTCAACGAAATTATGTCTCTCTTGCTGCAGGCAGAAAACTTATCCCAACCGATTTGGGAATCATTCTTGTTCATGGATATTTGAAAGTGCGAAGTTCTTCATAGCTTATCAAAACAAAGGCTGGTGTCACATTTAACCTATGGATTTTCTTATAGATTGATGCAGAGTTAGTGCTTCCATCGATGAGATCAGAAATTGAGAAACAATTGGATCTGATTGCACGAGGTAGTAATAATAATCTATGCCTTTAGTCCACTTTTAAATCAATGTGTCGTCTCTTAGGTGAAGCTACATTGGGACCAGTTGTGGATCACGCTTTAGATATATTTAAAGCAAAGTTTCTATACTTTGTTAAAAATATTGCCGAAATGGATGATTTATTTGAGGTATCATTTTCAAAGCTTGCTGGTGCTGGCAAACCATTCTCAAGGTATGCGTGTGAAGGTTTAAAATACAAAACGAATCGGTTTTGCAAATTTAAATTTTATTTAATTGTAATCGCAATTCATTATAATATTCAGATGCGGAAAATGTCGTCGATACATGAAACTAGTGGACAGTATATCTAGCCGTCTCCACTGCACAAATTGCAACGATACATACAGCGTCCCTCAAGGAGGAACTTTAAGAGGCTACAACGATGTTCGATGTCCTCTCGATGATTTTGAACTGATTGCGTTTAGCGCAGGCAGCAAAGGAAAAAGTTACACATTTTGTCCATATTGTATTAATCATCCTCCTTTTCCGTAAGTAGTTATGTAGAATGTTTGATAATACTATAAATATCTGTAGCATGGGATAATACTATAATTAAAACTTTTGCAGAGGAATGCGTAAAGGAAACGGATGTAATAATTGTCAACATCCAACTTGCCCTTACGGATACAGTATGAAAGGGATTTGTGCTTGTGAAGAATGTGACAATGGGCTCCTTGTCCTCGATCCGGCATCAGGACCAAAGTGGAAAATTGTTTGCAACAAGTTAGTGCAAAATAAGCTTTCAGTCCAATATGTCCTACATTAAATTTTAATCTCCGATTTAATTCAATTTTTAGATGCGACGTTTTCATCAACGTGTTTGAGGGTTCACGTAAAGTCACCGTAATAGACGAGTCTTCCTGCGAATCCTGTGAAGCTCAAATGGTTATTGTCGACCTCCCAAAAAAAGCTGGCGAAACTGGAGAGAAGAAAGGATGCATATTTTGCACCGAAGAATTTGAGCCATTCGTTGAGAAACATCGAGCTCAAAATACTCGACCATCGGGTCGCGGAGGACGTGGAAGAGGACGCGGTCGTGGTCGTGGGAGGGGACGCGGCAGGGGCAGACGAGGCAGCCGTGGACATTAATTATCTATTATTCATGCACACACGCATGTACTAAAAACCTACCTAAAAGAAAGAGGAGGTTAAATACCAATCTCAAAGGTTATTACTCCAGATTATACTCTTATTCATTGTGACAACTTATAATGTACGTGTAACACAAAGTTGTTCCATTCAAAATTAATCAAACATTGTATTATTAATAACACTCATACCGGTACACAAATATTATATACGTTTCTCTCTGTGTGTGAAATGTAATGTAACAATTTAACAATAATAATATTTATATCAAGCATTTATTTTTGGTATTGTTGTTATCTGTGGTGATATCTTTAGAATAAAAAAGCTAGTAGTTTGGCAAATAAATGTGTTCACACTTGTCTGCCCTGTCTGTATTTGAAGACGGTTCATTCTTCACCCACACGTGGATTTCTTATCTTGTTTGTGCCGCATATCCGCCTCCCTCCGGTTATGTTAAAGTTGAAGGAATCGGGTTGCTTTATTGTAACGATTAAAATCGATACTTGTAACGTAGCCAATCAATTGAACAAGTATTTCATCTTGTCATTCGGACTATGTAATTACGCGCTAGATTCCGCCAACAGCCATGTTAAATCACATTTCTGTATTACAAGCCTTTGAGTTTCTGCTTCATCCTCTCTTATTTACATACAGGCGCCTTATGTATTTCTACATTTACACGAATATTAACCAATCAATGCTTGTCAAGTTGCTAAAAGAAAAAGACTAGGAAAATGCGGGTTGTCGCCCACATTTTATGACATGTATGTACATTCGCAGCAATAGCTTCTCTAAGCGGATTAAGCGGACACCTCTGCCCGTCCGCCTGTCTGTCTGTTTGTACGATAGCGTGTGAACCATATTTTTTTAACCATACATTTTCAAGTTCTGTTTTCGGGTAGCTACGATATATTTCAAAATCACGATTGACTTCGCTCCTCGAAATCATACCCTTCAAGGTCAAAACATCGCCACATTTGAATAACAACCACCATCATTTATTATCATCATTCATCATCATCTTAATGATCTTTTAAAGAGAAGCAAATTGCAAATAACGCATGACTTTGGAGGTGTGGTCACAAGTCAAATTTTGAATTTCAGCAAATTCCAATAGAGGTTATAAGCTGTAGCAAAATTTCGTACTTCAAATTGAATTTCGTATATGTGTTAAAAGTATTTGCCTAAATTCCTACATCTATATACCTGTTTACTAGAGTTTATGGGAACTGTCCATCATAATCTAACATTTTACTGGATCTTTACAAATCACAACTATTTTTTCATCTCAAGAAGACCACACTAAATGGTTATCAAACTGACAATACAAAGACATGCATACTGTCATTCAAACCCTTAAAAATGTCAATATCTGCTTCATCTTTTAAGGGAGTCTATTTTTTCTGAATCCTTATTTTTATATTCCAGCCAACAAAACAATTTGTCAACAAATATCGATTTTAATGGCCTACAAAAACAGTGCCTGCAAGGCTTCAAAGTTTATCTGCAAACTTAACAATAACGAAATCTGCAATTTCGCAAAGTTCCGTTGTTGATTCGAGACTCCATTTCACTCTTTTATCCCCAGCAGCTTAAAACATGAATCCAATAAAGTGGTCGCCATCAAATCAAACCCTGATCTATGTAATCGGCTGGCCCTGCTGAGACAGGAAATACAACTTAAGTAAATATTTTTAAAGAAATTTGTTGTACAAATATTTTTAAGAAGAAAATATCAAATATCTTCTCAAATATTGACACCAAGTACAAAACACATATACGCACACAATGATAATAAATACATGAAATACAAGAGTGTGCCCCCGATTAAAAAGTAATGGACATCAACACTCTATCATTCAAATAAAAAGGCAAAGTTATTAATAAATGTGTGGACCATATTAAGCCACACACACCATTTATTTATCACACTTGGGCAAATTATGACAATGAAAGGATGACCTCATTCAATTAGTTAATTGCCTTATTTGCGCCCTTCATTACACACTTTTCGTCATGTTTGTAGTTTTGCAAAAAAAACTTCAGTACAAAGTTTTTATGTAAATTTTATTATATTGAGCTAGTACTGAGCATGAGGAATTTGAGACACGCTGAGAAAGTGTGTTGGTCCCACATTACCCGTTACCAAACGTGACATGAGGCATATTAAGACAGACAGCACAGGATTGACATAAAATGAGAAAGTAGTGCAATCCAGTTTTCAGTTTATTTAAAGAACACTTGAGCAAAACAATTTACTTTTGGCTCGTCTTGCGAGTTTTATTATTCTTTACATAAATCAAAAATTTTCCATTTTAGTTTAGTTGACTGAAATAAAAAAAAAGTGGACATTGAAACCAAGTGTGTGTTTGTTGGTTTGTTTTTCTGTTCTAGCAATACATACCAATCAAGTATTAGTGCCTGTTATTTGTGCCTTATTTATTTTCTGTGTATCCTCAAGTTTTAGCGAATTACGCATGATTTCAATGTGATTAGTTACATGATGAGAACAATACGGCAAAAATCGATTTTTATGCATTATTGGATAACTATGCGGAAATCGGCAATACGGATAAAAGTTGTTACACAATGCGAAACTCGCAAACACAGCAAAACATATAATCTGCATGCGTCCTATTCTCAGAAATTTACAGCTGATGATAATCTGTCAAAACTCATCCGAGATTACCATTCAATGTCAAGACAATTGAATTTCGTATCTAATGAGTGGATAACTCCCCGAATTCTGCACATGAATTAAGATGCTGAGTCTGGAGAGATTGTGTGGGAGAAAAGCAATGTGTCTCATCCAAAATCATGAAAACGCAACCAACCACTATGTATAATCCGCAATAATAATGAGCGTAAATACCTACACAGTTTTCAAGAAATTGATCAATGAAGCCGACACTGATTTTAAGCGATATTAACATACTAACTTGCGGATTGATTTTAAGGATCAATCCGAAAGGACATGATGATTTTTTTACTCGGAAATATGAGAAACTTTTAAGTATTTATTAGTATGTCCATGTAATCTAAATATCTTTCTAAGACCAATTACAATATTTCAGTCGAAAATCCTCATCAGTATCATTATTATTAAAAATATTTGCACCCTCCCATTCCACCCAACGAACCGGTAAGCAATGCACAATAATAATTGTGACAAAAACTTAATTAAGCAGCAAGACATTAATCAGCGAAGCATTAACGATTTGATCGTCCCCACCGCCTTAATTCTCATTAGTATTCCGCCTCTTGTACTATATAAAGTGATCGTCTTCTCGACATAATTATCAGTTTAATGATTAAGATCAGAGGGGAGGGAAAGACACAACTTAGGAAACATTGCTTAAATTTCCTGAAAGTACAGACCAAATCCGAATTTAACCCCCCTCTACCCACTCCCTCGCAGCAGTAGCAGCGTAAAGGTAATAATGTCAAGACAAATTTATTTTCAATTTTGTGCAAAAAACAGCAACAATGAGCAATAAATAGATTTAGACTAGTATTCTTATCGATTGTGTAGTGAGAAATTGTTAAAATCTTAACAATGGCCCTTCACTCCTTGAGATTTTATACAATGGCCTTTTTTGAGCATGATTTGCTTTCACTGGGCTAGCTCACCATTAATCATTTTATTCCCTTTCATTCTTCTGGGTCAGTTGTAAACAGCGTGATCAGAAGAAGAGAGAGAGAGACCATCTCATTCTGTTCCCTGTGAACTCTGGCCATAATAAATAATAACATGTACAATCATCATTGTCACACTATTGACATTAATGAGGGTGGATTGATTGATTTTGTATAAAAGTGAGAGTATTTTTCATTTTCACATGCTTCGTCCATCACTTACTCGAGGGGCTGAGAGTGAAAAGTGAGTATGAGTCCAATCCCAACGGTATCAGTCAACATTGCCGTAATTCATCAACGATTCGGATATTTTCCATTTACCCCAGATTCTGTCGTGATTTAGGGAGCAAAGTAAATTACGTTTTCATAAGTTTCATCAAGGCATCATTCTGGAAACTTTGAAGAGTTTAGAGTTGCAAAAGTTCTAATAAATGAAATGTATGTTCTTTTTATGCTTCCAGACTCACCCAAAACAACCCCGTCAATTAAGGATAGAAACAAAAAAGTTTCACCCACTTCAACGCTATGATGGCTTCCAAGATGAATTTGGCAGTTGTACTGATATCCGTCGTCGTGGTCATGATCGTTGGATCTGTCACTTCATTCGACCTTCGCTCCGAACCTGAGAGCCATGTCAAGCAAACACGGTCCATCGTGTCAATGGACGTTTCCCAACCGCACCAACCGATCCAGGTTTGTGGATTACGTTTGCTCGATGCGGTCCGTGCCATTTGTCGCAATCGGGGCGGATACGTGATGACGCGAAGGTCGGATCCCTCACTCTTGGGTAAGACTAAGAATTGTGTTTGATTGCTTGGTATTATTTCCTCTTCTTAGAATTTAAGTGAATTATTACCATTTTGCAGCCCCACTCTACGAGGAACTGGAGATTCCCATGAGCAACTCTTTGGACGAAGCATCCCAATATCCCAATGACGCCTTTGCCTCCGAAAACGGGGTCGACTTCCCAGACTCTGGAGACCTTTGGAGCAATGCACGAGCCTACAAGGCGCTGACCGAGTCCAAGGGCGCTCACCCCCGCGTGAGACGAAATATTATCGACGAATGTTGCAAACGTCCTTGCAACCCGCACCAAATGGTGAAATATTGTGGACGAGCGTAGATACTTATTAACTAGAAAAGTTGCTAATTACACTCGAGATAATGTCTTTTAATGTAGGCGACTTTCAAAGCTCTCTTCATTTCTGGTAGCATTCGTAGTGTCTCAACTTCTCCAATTCTGTACTAAATAGCAACTCTATCAATTTATTAGTAATTCACTATGTTAAAAGTGATATCAACTTGATATCGAAGGAGGGCTCACTTGAATTTATTCCTGCTCTAAAGCGTTTGTGATTTCTGTTGTTATGTTATAAAGACTAAAATACTGGTGCATTAGGCACGTTTCTAGCGTATAAGCAAGTATGTTAAGCTTCGAAGTGAATCTGTCATTAAGAAGAATTCTTTCACTATCCCAACTCATGCATTGACTTAAAATCATTTCTCAGCGTGTCCATCTCATTAGTTGTCAGTTTTAACCACATATTTTACCACTTGGTATTTATGAAGCACTTTTTTGAACCACTAACATACAAGCCTTCATATTTTTAGTGTCTATTTAGTCACAAAGCTTATCAACTGCAGAATATGTCAAGTCCTCCTGCTTAACTTTATTAGGTATACCACATGAAATATTTTGCCTCTGCTGATTGTAATTAAAATAAAACAAAGTCGCCCATTTGTAAGTGATGCATAGTTCTGTTCTCCCGAATTAATTTGGACTCATTTGACTCTCATTTTTCACTCTGTCCCATCCCACCAACAAGTTGTGTGCGATATGCAGTAAATGACAGGTAAACTGAGGAGGACAACCCTTCACCGACAAAATCACCGATCTTGATGCCCTTTGGATATGTTGTAGTCCTAGGTGAGTCTAGCAAAAGTGAAGAAGGATTTCATTCCATGGCCCCATTTGCGCCCGCCACACCCACTCAAAGGTGCGAAAAACACGAAAAATACCCTGTTTTCGTTCATTCTAAAAATCACGAAAAATCCAATTTTGATCGGATTTTCATAATTTAAACGTTTTTGTGATCTTAGATAGTTCCTCTATCATATCCAATAGCAAACTCAACTTTTTTGAAATTTTGATTTTTTCGAAGACATTTGGTCAGGAAATTTTCGAAAACACTCAAAAAATTGAAAAAATTGAGTTGGCTATTGGATATGATAAAGCAACTATCTAGGATCACAAAAACGTTTAAATTATGAAAATCCGATCAAAATTGGATTTTTGGCGAGTTTTTTAGTGATCCAAAACAGGGTATTTTTCGTGTTTTTCGCAACTTTGAGTGGGTGTGGCGGGCGCAAATGGGGTCATGGAATGAAATCCTCCTTCACTTTTGCTAGACTCACCTAGTACCACAATATACCCAAAGGACATCAAGATCGGTGGTTCTGTCGGTGAAAGGTTGTCCTCCTGAGCAGCAGCACACAATACGGGAGCATTTATTTCATTCCTACACACCAAGAACTACATATACTCCAGCATGCAGTAAGTAAGGAAAAGGCCCGTTTGTGTGGAACCCAGCAGCAGCACGACAGCAGTGCGGAGAGAAAGTGCGAGGAGAAAGCATAGTGGGAAAAACCGAGGCGAGATATCTCCACCCGTCAGTCAGCAGCCCATGTTAGAAGAACTGCGGGGAGCGTAGTTTCCGACCCGATTCGGAGGACTGTTCTCATCCTCCTCTCGCATGGCGGGCTGCTTATGTTCATGTCACCATCGGATACTTTCTCTTATTTTCACTCTCCTTCTTTCCCTGTATGTAGGGCAAACTAAGCCAGTTTCAAACAGTAGTCACAACTATCCAGTCAACTCTCTGCTCTCCGCTGCTCCACCACGACGACCACTTCACTATCTTCGAGAACCGCTGCTACTGCTGCTCTTCTTTCTCTCTGCTTGCTCTCCTCTCCAAAATAAACATCTCCAATTATTGGGTGCTGATCTTTTCTACTTTCTCTCTCTTTCCTTTCCAATTAGCCAATACCACTTGGTGACGCAAGAGTACAAATTATTACCTCAAATCGGTTACATACATACAATCGCTCGCTCGAGGAAATTGGACGGGTTTGTGTGCAGAATAGTTTTGACGAAATAAAGAAACGCTTCACGAAACGAGTAATAATGGAGCATGTGTAACACAAGTGAAACGACAATTTTCTGCCTTTTTCATTATTACCGCACGTATAATTAATCGGGTTGCCTCTGTCTGAAACATAATTTAAACCAGTACCTTCAACTTATCATCTACCTATGTACGTATTTATACCATTGGGTTAAAAAGGATTAATATTAACTAGTGACCTCATCAGTAAGTTGTAAATTCTGACGCTTTTCTCTCACAATCGATCCTCCGAGGGAATCGATTGGTTGGTGGAGAACTTGATGGGAAATAATTTGTCGAAATGTATTATTAAAGTAGTAGTCTCAATGCTGACTTGACTGCGGTGTGGGTGACGTGATGGGATTCAGAAAGTAGAAAACTGAAAAAATACGTGCTCTCTCCCCAACAAATACAAAGCAACAAACAAACAACTCTTATTTATACATACGTTGATTGTTTTAAGAGGAAAATCGATTGTTTTCTTTTCTACTCGTCGTCAAATTCGTGTGTCTTACATGAAGTGCTTTTGTTTGAATAAATGTGTGCAGGACGTGACGCTGTGTTAATTGATTGACGTGATTAGCACTGAACAAATCGTTAGCAAAGTAATAAATAATTTGACTGGATCGGTGATTGAACGAGAACCTCGAGAAGAGAACCCGAGAATGACGAGGAAGTGAAAGTAAGTCATAAACTTGGAAACTCTGCAGCATAAAATAGCCCAATTTGATCTCCTGCTGCTCGTACTACCCAATAACTCGGATCTCTTCTTGACTGACCAACCTGAGACTACGAATGTCGCAAGGGTTGAGGCAAGTCGTATAATAATTGCTTAGTTGAATTTGTCCCAGTATCGCTCAAGGAAGATAATGATGTTCGACGAAAGCTAGATTGCGACATCATTTATCTCATTATTTTTCTCTTCCAATCTCCTCTCCTCGAGGCGATAGATGGATAGATACCAATAATTCCGCATGATGTATAACATTTTATTGGTTTCTTCTCTGCTATTTCTGGATGAGCAGAGCTTTTGTTTTTTTCCTCTTTTTCTGCTTGGAGATAAAGTAAGATGTTTTCCAAATCCCGGCGAAACATGAAATACGAACGCATCCTGGATACATTGCCCGTCTAGCTTTTGACATTTAATCTTTGTAAAGCACCTCGCAGGTAATTGGGAGGAAAGAAAATGGTTTGTTTAGTGCAATTCAGTGAGAGAGAGAGACGAAAAACAATTGTGCTTGCATTAGACGATTTATTAGTGGCCTGTTCAGAATAAAATAAGCAGAAATCTCCTTGACGTACATATTTTCTGCTTCCCTTCACCAATTGCCTATGAACGAGTAATGGTGAAATGTATAGCATACAACTAGTGAAATTTCTTTAGGATTTTATCTCGCTCTATTGTCATTGAAATTTTCTCAGTCTGTAAAAGTATTACTTGCCTCTTGAATTAAGTTGAAAGATTTCTTCACAGCTCATAAAATTTTAAGCTAACAAAAGGTGTATTGCTGGGATGAATTTCTAGAGCCAGCCTTTCATCTCGTTCCCTAGGTGCAGGTTTCAGTCTGGGAATTACGTGGGCGTTTTGTTGCACAAGACATTATCAAACAACTAAAAGAAGAGGACGGTGACTACACACCAAACAAACCCATGGAGCGATTTAATAATAAAAGATTTGACTTTGCTCTTGCACGACTACTTTTTTCGCTTCAGGGCAGGATTTCATTATTTGTGTATCAGTCACTTATTTTTTTAGGGTAGAAGAGTCAAGGAAAATATTAATCATCTTTTTATATTGGTTTTTAAATTGGCTTTTTATACATAAATAATCTATCACCGTCTTCTTTATTCGCCATTATTCTCGCAAATTCTGCAACGTTCAAACTATCGAATTTATGCACTTTTGGCAATTTCGCCAATTTTTATGCTCCCTTTACTCTTTTCATCCTCCTGAAAAAAGTTTCATATAATTATAGATTGCTTAATGATAAGTCGGTGGGTGTTGTTACCAATGTTGGCTGGCTGGTGGCCAATGATGAATATTGCTAATAATTTGGAAGGTCGCCCCACACTTTCTTCCCTTCGCTACACAGATAAGCATTCGGGCAATGATTACTCCAATTCGAAAAACTTGCACCCGGCCAAACAAGTCGCACACACACAAGCTCGCCAATTTATCTGGGGAATACAAGCTCGTATAATAGTAATGGAACGCTTGGTTTGAAAGTTTGCTCGTGATGGTTGTGCAACACAATCTGCTCTTATTGATCCGCGTAGTGTGGGACCCAAGGAGAGAGGAAAAAGTGGTGGAAGAAAGAGTCGGAGGCAGATTTCGAAGGAATATATCATCCAGTACTAATGGACAAAATGGTTCCCTTTTCTCCTACATAAAGTATGGTGTGCATTAGCATAATCATTAATTAGTAATGAGAATGGGAACTTTTATAAAAGTTCGGAACAAGAGATAGAGAACGAGAAAGTAGGGAAAGTTGAGTTTCATTCAAACTTTTATAATTGTGTGCGATGAGATTGTCAAATTCTGTATTAAAACGGCTTCTTTTCACAGCATTTCATTAGCCAATAGTGAAATACAAGATGTGTAGTAGTGATACGGCGCACCTACCTACGTTTCTCGTGCAGTCGTAGTAGTCAATTTGGCCAATTAGTGAATTGTATAGGTTATGCGAATAACACAATACAACAAAAAGAAACCTAACCATCACAGGAGTCGTGTGTAACGTACCACAAATATTCATTAGCTAATTCGCGGAAACGCCTACACAAATGATTTTCAACCTTTCTCGGGAAAGAGTCAGTTAAGTAGTCTGCTTAATAACGGTTGTTAGGCTTTGCTGTGGCATGTTCAAATGCATACGTATTGATGGTAATCATAGCCAGTCAGTCAGTTGGACTTCCACATTGAAGCTCACTTCTTGACACCTCTTTGTAGCACGTTTGGGTTTGATGGTTGGATAATGAAGCGTGATAAGTCATGTTTTGTCGCCTTATTTGATTTCTCCTCTCGCTTTGATCGTCCCACACGAAATCTTATCTTGTCGGTTCCTTCATTCGTTCGCGACCTCTCATCAGACCGTCCAGAGATTCTTGGTGTCTTTCATTACGACATAATAATTATGCATAATAAAAGCACTAGCGATATTCCTATGAACCGTGCTTGGCATCTTTATATGTACGGCAACACTTGTAATTTAACTACGCCCACCACGAACACAGCGAGCACATTTTACGTAAGTCAGTCAGTGAGGAATACGAGCAATGCAATCCGACACCGTGATACGATCGAGTTGGTGGACGAACTGCGTTAAGCTTTGGCAAACAAACATGGTAAATGGTTCCATTTCTCCGCAAAAGGAGATTATTTCCTCCAAGTAGGGCGACCGAGTATTTTGTAGTGGTGCGGTTGACATATGTCGACGGTTCCATCCAGTGAAGAACTACAAGAACACAAGGACCAGCGACGACCGAATCCATTTATTTACTGGGTTGATGGATATAGAGAAGAACTGCTTGATAATATGGAGGACAAGACAATAGTGCTGATGAAAGCTGAGCCGACTTCTATGTAAATATGACTGACTGGTGAACTGCTGCAATTCGGGAGATGACTACACTGCTGCTACCACCACGACCAATAATATTTCCCTTTCTCCTTCTCGTCCGCCTTTGTTTTGTTTCCTTCTCGTCTGACGCTTTCGTTCTCCTATTCTCGGCAGTTTACTTGATTCCGACAACTTTCTCCAACCGGTATGCAATCCCACAACAAAGGGAAGAATGAACCAACCCAGGGCGTGGATATTTCTCTGTTTAGAATAAAATAAAACTGTTCCACTAAGACAATCGCTCTCTCTCCGTTGCCGTTACATAAAGGGAGATTAAACATTGTGGTGAGAATGCGTTAATGCTGATTTAACTCTTATTACTTATCAACCAAGGCAGTAATGAACTCACCACAAGAATGACCGCAGCATGGAAATTGGGAACTCTGCATATGTATCTATTTATAACGTGCACGATTAAGACATACGTTAGGAAATCTCAGTAATTGACCGCACACGTTCCACGACATGCATTTCATATATTCCCGTTATATGTACAGAAACACTGCCCACACCAACCAGAGCATGTAATTCCATAATCCCATGTTTACGTTATCAATCAGAACGTAACAGGGTAGGGGTCAACGAGGAGGCAGGATCCTATTGCCAATTAGGCAAACTTCACAAATTACGTGCAAACTTACTCCGAACACAAAAACAGCGATTAAATTTCGCATGGTGTCCTTGTAGCCTAAACAGTTTTACTTTCTTGCCCAACAGCCATGAGAAGGAGGTGGCGGATAACATCAACACTTTGACAACGCTTCACGACCACGACTACCGTGCGTGTGGATTTATCAGAGGAGGAGGAAATTGAAATATTGTCGCAATGGAGACCGCGTGGGGCGCCACGAATTTAAACAACAAACCGGAAGAGTACAGTTCAAGTTCGGAACGAGAAGCGCGTTCAATCGCGTTGGAAAAGGCCTACGTTCACGACGTGTACTCTCAAATCGCCTCCCACTTTTCAGACTCTCGCTACAGGGCTTGGCCAAAGGTCAAACAATTTCTCCTCGAGTTGGAACCAGGCTCCATTGTATGTGACGTGGGTAAGTAGCTAATCGTAAGTTGTTGCAGTTTTGTATACAGAGTAGGACCAACCGCACCAGGCAAGTTACTTTTTGACATTTTCGTGGTTACCTTCCACGGACGACGGACCTAGTCTCCATGTGACATTTCCACAATTAAACCATGCATGGAGTCAAAGCAGACCGCAAACAAATAATGCAGTGGTTGTGGATGAAATTGAGGTTCGACGAGGAGAGATAGACACATAGAAACTGATTAGTGCAAAAGTTACTCTTGATGTTGAGCTGTACCTGGGGCAATAGTTGTTTCATAATGTCAAATCAAATTCTCTACTTTTGAAAACTAAATAATTTTTGCACATGTTTTTTACACATGTTATTTAGCAAACTTCACATATTCGTAATTAAATAGCCATCATAGTTGAGCGTTCAGCTTATTTTGAGGCATTTTAGGAGTACATCATAATTACTAAATCATTCGAATGGAACATTTTACGTATGTATCAGAAACATGTTCAGCTCACGTGAAAACTTACATATGCACAAAGCCTCCAGCCAACTAACTCACCTTCATTTCTCCTCCACGAGTGGGTTTAATTACTGAATGGTTCCAGACTTTTCTCCATTTATTTACCAGCTTTCTCAAATTTGTCATCCATCTTCAAACGGCTTTGAAGGAGAATATTCTATGTATGACTAGCAAACAAATTGACAAAGTGCTTTAGCTCTCCATTCTCCTTAATACGATACTCATTTCATACTTAGATATTTACTGATGACAAACAACTCTCATCATCTCTGTTTCTGCCAAAGAGCCAAAATAAGAGTTTTCCAGGCACTTCATGCCTCCAATCATCGTTATTATTTCTTCAATTTAATTCAACTGGTTAATAAACTTTATTCCCCGAGCAACGAGAGATCTGTATGCGCAGTTAGAGTTGCAAATACGTATCTAGCATGTACAATATTACTAAATAATTTCGATTCCAACAGCGGAGGAAAGTGGAGTGGGTGGTTGAGTGGTTTGTTAGAAATTCGTAGTTTAGGAAAATTTGAACGTTGGAAGTTGAAAATTATGCAACAACTCCATGCACGCCTTTATGTCTGGATATTGCTTACTGTTTACCCCGCTGACTGCGAGACGTAATTTATTAGCAATTTTGGAGATGAAAGCCATCCATGAAATGAAAATGTTGTGATGCTTAGAAGTTGCGTAGCTGTCCGCACAAATAATAAAACAAGAGTGGAAAACTTGCAGTAGTTGTAAATCAATCGGAAACATAAAAAAAAAATGAAAAATAAATTTTGCGTAACTGCTCAGAGTAAATACTCAAACAGGATAATGTTAAAAAAAGAGGACACGTGACTTGAACGATTTCTTGAATTTGCAGGATGTGGAAACGGAAAGTACTTGGATATCAACCCATCCATTTATAAAATTGGAATTGACAGTTGCTCAAATCTTACTGGTGCTGCTCGCGAGAAGAACCACGAGGTAAGAGCAATAGAAAAACTTTCTCCTCAACCGTGTGAAAATCCGACACGGTCATCAAAATAATCTCGCTTTATAATTTCTTCTCCGACTCTAGGTGCTTATCAGCGACAATCTCAACATCCCATTTCGTGATGAAAGTATGTATCAACATTAAATTATAGCGTTACATATATTTGTAAACTACCATTCCGTATTTAAATAAGCTTCAATCGAGGATAGGGCTAACTTTTAGATAAACTTTGAAATCGTACAAATTTAAAATACTACAATTTAATAAAAAAACGAGAAATTTAATATTTTCAATTGTTTTCGTTTATATGTTTCGATGCCGTCATCTCGATTGCCGTTATTCATCACTTTGCCACGACGGAGAGGAGGGTCGCCGCACTGAAAGAGTTGGCAAGGGTGCTGCGAATCGGGGGACGGCTTATGGTGTCCGTGTGGGCGATGGAACAGAGGCATCGACGGGTAATTGCCATTACATTTTCATGCTGCATATATTTTTACTGAAATCAATCCAACACATAGCAAATGAAGAACCCTTGGTGTGTATATTTCTCTAAAAAACTAAAGGTGCTAACATGCGGGGTCATGGTGTGATAATTTACCAAAAATGTTGCACATTCATCTCGTCTATCAAGTATGAGTAAAAGAACTTGGACCAGTTTTCATCTCGCATTATGATTTATTCGAATGGAAACGTCGAGAGAAACTCATCTCATCTTTTTCTTTCGTGAAACTTTTTTTTCAAATTCGAGTTCAATTTCCATGTAGAAGAAGCACTTAGGCCGAAAGACCATGTAGGCACGTTCAATTCAAGCAAGTAATAGATTGAAGTGGAAAATGGAAGACTTTCTTCTTTTTCTTTACAACCAGTTCTAGCCAAGAAGATCAAATCTTCTCTGCACTTATGTATCTACATGCTCACTTATAGATAGTCGACGCAAAGTTATACCATATTCCGTGCTACCGTTGACAAACTTCATTTTTAATCTTTTCTTATATATATTCACCTTAATTCACCTAGATAAACTTGAGTTTTCATGCCTAAATTTCCGAAAGCGAATGAATGGCATGGAATTTTCTCCTTTGTTTAATAATAGTTAATCGATTAAACTTTCATACAGCCTTCATCGCTGTATGAAACAAACAATTAAATATTCCCTGAAAGGAAAATAATGCTAGTTGAAAGTAGACCTATTCTATTATTTATTTATGGAAACAACTAATTTTGTTGAGAGATGAAACAATCAACTATTAAACAACCATGTTCATGGCTGATCGGACAGGTGACGTGCGTTTTGTCTGTTACAAATGTTTCTTTTTGCACGTAACCTAGTTAAGACTTTCCTTTTTCCGTATTACATACACCGTCAGGGAAAGTGAGTGCCCGAATTTTGACCCAGTTTTACTTGTCTGCCTGAGTTTGTGTGGACCTGTTTCGAGATTCACGGCAGCTGCTTTTCCTACCCAGACCACCCAACCAGAAGTGAAATTGCACCGGATAGAGTTGGATAGAGCATGATATATTATTTATGAAGCCACTTGTATTTTAACCTTTTCAATAACTCGTAATCAGGAATAAAACTACTCTGAGCCTTTCATTTATCCAAAGTTTCGTGACAATGTCACTTATTTTCACGACAGGTTTGTAATGTAAATATAGGAAAGTAAGAGAAAATAAGAGCACTGCAGGGAGACAGCGGATTCGATTCCACACTGTATTGAATACTGCATTAGGCAGGAGAAGGATGGCAAGAAAATGACCCGAATTCTCCTCGCGGAGCTGAATAACTCACAGTTTGACTGATTCTGAGTATTACTTTCTTGTAAAACAACGCTGTTCTGCTGTTGTGTTGGGTTGTGAAACGTTCTTTCCTAGTTGTGAACAACAAAAGTGGAAAGAATGTCTTTTCCACTCTGTTGTGTCCTCAGCGTCTTTGTCAGGCTTTAGGGATGAGAGGTGAACATAGTGCGGATATAAATATGGATGTTGTTACACCTTCCAGTTCGAATCTCAAGACGTGCTGGTGCCATGGAGTCGACCAATGAACTCGAGTAGCGATGATAAGACTTCATCCATAGAGAGAGACCTTAATTCAACAACGACGACGTCTGATGACGACGCAGCCACTCATTATCACGCTTACACCCAAACCTCTGATTCGGATCACTCTTTTCCTTCATGCAGGTAACACACTATTTCCGATAAGTAATAATAATCAGTGTAATTAGTAGTTATAGATACCCCGTGCCCATACCTTAGAAATGCTTGAAATAGAGATCTCGCCTCCTTTAGAAATCGATTTACAAAACAATGAGCTTTCTTTATATCTCCGGATAGATTAGTATTTATTTGAAAGTAGAAAAGACGACGAGAGATAATTCAAGTCCAACAAGTAACAAGTTGGAAGAAATTCTTACACATGGGAATAAAAAATTACTGGGGTTAGGTGAAATAGACATGAAAAAGGAAATTGGAGACAAATGAGAACGAAAGTGAGGAATGAAAAGGATTTACGTCTTTTCAGCCGTACGACACGCAATAGGAAACCGGGGTAAAATAACATGCCGATCAGTAAGGCCATATAATGGCAGTAAAGTATACATCCAATGACTGGAGAAACCTTGTCGCACAAAAGCTGCATGTACACAACCACTCCTTTCTTCCAATCCTTCGTCTGTTGCTTTCACTACCAGCAAAATAAAAGTATCTAGATTCTGAAGCAGACTAAACTCCAGGGCGCACGGTGGTAATATTTTGGTGAAAAAATATTGTTCTTCCTACTCTCCGTTTATGCGAAAAGACGTATATTCTCACCATCGGCCACACAGTTCTTATTCTCCCCTCAACTCTTTTTCCCTTCTGCCTCGGTGCTCTTTCTCTGGAAAAGGAAATAAATGAGATTCTATTCCACGTGGGCTAGTACAAAAGAGCGAAAGACACTCCCACCAACGATCCAGTGGTGACTTTGTGTTTAAACGGTTTTGTGGCTAAAACAACTTTTTGAATGACAAGCTTAATTTGTGGGAGGCATTTTGCTGCTCATGTTGGTTGGTACAGGTGGATGATGGTATGAATGCTCAGCAGGGAAGATGGTGAAAGTTATTCAATTTACGTCGTCTTGTTCTTCTCCCCATCTCATCTATCTTCTCCTTAATTTTCTCTCGTATTTTCAATTTCAACAGTGTCGGAGGACGTAAAAGAGGGCGAAATCGGCATCGCGGTCGTTCTATTGATCCCATTTGTCCCAGCAGCTCACAAAGCAGCTCAGACCTGTCCAGTCCGAACGAGTCGTGCTATACCTTCGTGCGAAAGGCTTTACAGGTAGGTTCATGGGATTCAAGCTCAGCGCGAGTATAATGTGGAATAAATTTCGGTCACTTTCAATCAATTATTTTTGGACACATAATAAATGTATCTCTCTCTTTCTGCGTCTCAAGAAATTGGCTGGAACGCGTCGAAATAGGGGCGGCCGGAGACCATGGTTTCTTCAAGGGTTGGACATTCCCATGGACGAGGATAACCACCATTTCGGCTCTTTAGAAGAAGACGCGGTGGAGGCGCTCGAGTACAGAAATAACTATGGGAATCTGCCAATCAACAATTTCATGCCGATTGAACTTCGTCAATTGGAGTCATCAGATTATGCAGAGCTTTTCCAACTACAAGGAAGTCTGGATGGGGGCATGGTGAAGACGAGCAACTCGAAACCACCAGGACTGTTGTTCTCCAATATTCTCTATCCACGAAGGCATAAAAGGATTTTTATTTAGATTTTGCATACATTTTTGGTCAAATTTCTAGCAGTATCGAAATCTGATGGTCTTTTAATTGTACTGTTTTATATTAGACGTACTTTGGAGACGACTTGCGAATTGCAACCATCCTCCAGCTCTGGCGGGACTGTTCAGCCCAAGTCTAAAAGCTTGAGTGACTTGTTTGGTCTAATTCCTGGTGGAATTTTGCGTTCTCAAAGGAAATCCGCAGAAGATATTGAGAATGCCCGGGCTGAGATGCAACTTAAGATTCAATTGACTGGAGTTGCAGCTGGGACCCGTTCGACCTCCTCCCTTTCGGGTGGCTTCTCTCCAACCGACTTTCCTGAAGGCGTTTCACACAAAGCCGTACAGACGGACATGGTGAACAGTAGTTTAGAATCGTTGGGAGACAGACCAGATTATCACTTTGAGTGTTGTGGTTGTGGTGAAAGTGTCGGAAATGGGAACAACAACAAGCTGCGACCAGTTCTGGTCAAACAGAAGCAATCAGTCTGCTCTCCATCTGCATCTGGTGACGAGAACACTGGGTCCCATAATCATGACCATCAAGCATCCGTCACTGGTGCAGGAGGGGACGGAGAGTCGTCATCTCTTTGTTGGGGCGAAATGAAAAAATCGGTACGGGATTTGCCAGAGTTGAAGAGACACCCCTCAAACACGCTCCAAGTACCCCCGACCACACGGACTGGTGGTCTCGGGCTGGGATCCTCATTCTGGAAACAATCCTCCCTTAATGAAGAGCTCATTTTCTCCGAGAGACTCAAGGAGAAGCAACTTCTCAAGCAGCAAGTGCAGAAGCAGAGCTCTCTTAATGAGGAATTGATTTACAAACAGAGGAGAGAAAACACGAGATGGGACGCCATGAAAGAAGCCATCCTAAATTCGTCTAATGTGAAATGTCTCCAGTTGATCAGGGATGGAATAAGTTCCCGATTTCGTAGTAGTAGCAACGATGCGGGATTAGGGGGGACGGGACAACAGAATGGAAATGGTTCTGGATCTGGAAGTGGTGGAGATCGGAGTAGCTCAGAACACTCCTGCTCCAACAGTGAGGGTCATACGCCTAGTCCTACAAATGTAGGATATAATAAGTACAACAACCAGAGGCCATGCCCCCCGCCCCCAGGACCACCACCGTCAGCCTCTACCTCCATTCGAAATGGGATTGTGAGAATGCTACAAAATTGGAAGCAGGGTGAAGTGGTCGACCCTCGAGTAAGTAATCCATCTCTGTCATTCGGAGGAAGACGCGACTCCACGCAAGGACCACAACGGGCCACATCTCGGGGCCTATTTCCACCCTTTTTTCTCAGAAGGAGTTCGGCAGGTTCTCTAAATCTGAGCAAGGATCATCACCCCATGTCATCCTCGAAAGTGCTGTCTCCACCTCATCTCCTTAAACGCAGACCATCAGAGAATGAAATTGTCCATGACGGAGTTGCCGGCGGAGCTTCTAACGGAAATAAGCTGCTCCCGGGTGTGAGACATATTCGAAAGTTGTCATATTCGAAAGATACAGGTTCTGATTCCTCGAAAGATTCCAGCTTCCAGTCTGATACGAGTGTCGATTCTGAAGACTCTTTTGCGAGTGTGATATTCATTCCAAATAACAAATCAGGAGGATTGGATGGAACGGGACAAGGAGATTCTTGCTTCACATTTAATGCAGAAACTAGAGCAAACTCTACTGATTCGGATCGCTCCCCAAAATCACCAGCATCACGACTTTCTCCTCCAAATCATAACAGTAATTTACCTAAAAGCCCGAGTCCTTTGGCTTCAGAATTGCTGACAAGGAGACGAAGCCCGGAAGTGAGTCCTACCAAGTTTGGCGCAGTTGCTGGTGGACAAGGAGGTGCTATGACAATGATGACGGCAAACAGTATTAGCAGTAGGGAAACGTCCCCATCGAAATTCGTTTTTGATGATGCTACCACGTTATTATCTCCGGGACCAGGTGGCAGTGGTGGTTATCACAGTTCGGGTGATGGCACAGACTTACTCGTGGTCACGAATCGGGAAGATGAGCACATTTCAAACAATAAGAATTTGACGGAAGAAGTCGTCAGAGTTCCAAGGTTGCCATTCATCCAAACGGACCAAATACCACTTTTACCCAGCCGTAGCAAATCTCCCTTGTTACCCCTTTTGTTGGAATCACCCCCAGTCACAGTCTCCACCACTATTTCGTCCTCAACATTTAGCAGGAAGAAAGTGGAACGGATCGAGGTTCTTCGGAAACCTGGCGTGCTTCCTGAGGGCAACAAGGTTACGAGGCAACAAGTTCGGCGAAGCCTACCGAAATCATTAGCTGTAGAATTGTTCAATCCAGGTAGATGTATATTATTTATAATAAAACACATATTTTGAAGTAACGCCCAATGTATACTTTGCCGTTTGTCGTCAAGATAATACATAACTGTTCCAATTATAATCATGTTATTGAACGACGAACGGCGGTAGTATAAATCGGTCGTAAAGCTAACAATTGTTTTCATACAGACTAATTTAAACTTGACATTTGTTTAAATTTCAAAAATTGCAGAAACGGACGATGCAGACACTTCTGACACGTCTTCATCATCGCCAAACTCTGTTAGTTCGGTTGTCAGTGTAGTAAATGAGGAATCACAACCACTTCAACTCCCAGTACCCGAAAAAGAGCAACCATCCAGTACTACTACAAACAATGCAATGCCGTCATCCAACCTGGATGATTTTCAGCCAACCGAACTCACCTCAATAATGGAGGAGACTATAGTACCATCGGTGAATAAGATTAGCCACCAACTACCCCCCACTGTTGAGGATGAATTACAAAGCCATGCTGCGAAGCAAACGGTGCCTTCATCGTCAAGAAAATCCTCTTCATCCAATATACTAGAGGCAGCAGCCAACATGGTTTCCTCTCTGGAAGGCTTAGTATCTTCCTCCACCTCCTCCAGCCCACCTGGAAGTCGGAGAAAGTTGACCCTGGCCAAACTAGGTTCCACTTCAGAATGGCTAATTTCTCTTCCACATGACTTCGGCGTGACTCGAGCTGGTGGTGGAAGTTGTAGCGGCGGTGGAGGTGGCGGCTCATCAGCATCATCCTCAACCTCATCTTCTGGACAAGGACCCCTTCGCAAACTCTCCTCTCTAGAACGTCGACACGCTGCCGGCAGCAGTGGAGAAAAACTCTGGGTGGGAGATGTTAAAAAATACGCACACAAAGGACCAGACGCGAAATGGCCCACCTCGATTATGGACGACTCACCCCCACCATCTGCCTATATCAATAAGCCCGAAGATGTCACTCCCATCCCTTCCACATCCTCCATCCCCAATACTTCCGATTGTGCAGAAATGACTGCCAAACTTTTGGAAGAAATGGAAGAAGGAGACTCTTTATTTGATTCTATCGAAAATTTGTCCACGTCTCGCCAACACCCTTCACGAAATCCCTCAATTGACTCCAGCGTCCGCATGTCATCTACCTGCTCCTGTTCAATTCGTGGAGGAGAAAGTTTCGAGTCCTGGTCCTCTGCCAAATCCTCCTTAACAAATTCGTCATCCACGCACCATCCTCTGCAACCCATCATCCCACTGCCCCCACAACACATGAAGGCTTTCCCCACCATAATCCCACTCTATCAGCCTCGGCCCAGCAGTAATAATCACAACAACCAAGTACAGCACCCCAGTGGAAGTGGTTCCTCGTCCTCCAGAATGCGGCATCAAGGGGGGCATAGTTCCAAGTCATCATACGCAGCTGGGGAAGAGGACACTGAAAATTCCACCCATCTGACCTATCATCGCTATTACCATGTCTTTCGGGAAGGAGAACTCGACAAGTTGATTGAAAAATATGTTCAAAATCTTCACATTATTTCATCTTATTATGACCATGCGAATTGGTGCATTATTGCAGAAAAGGTGCAGGTTTGGACCATTTAATAGTATACATGGACAACTTTTTTCCTATACATACGCACTTCTTCTCCTCCTTTACAATTACCAAGGAATGGAACGAAACTCTTAATTGTGATATCTTTGTAATAGAACTTCTTAAACAACTATATGGGTTATTAAATATGGGTTTGTTTAACAAATTTGTTATGTACAATTCCATACTCTTAAAAAATATCATATTCAAGAAATAAAATCGCAGTACAGATAGCATAATAAAATGTAATAAATATTAAATTGTTAGTATATGTAATTGCGTAGTTGAAGAAGAAAACATACGCTCATATTCATAAGATTTTAAACAGCAGATACGCGTTTATGTAACAATCATGAAACAATCTGTACCATATATTTAAACTTATCGAGAAATTATCGTCCTTTATTATGTATCATTGTAGTTCATACTGTGACGATTTTCAAATATTTACTAATACATCTCGACACATTCGCATGTTACGCATGATAAATTGACGAAACTTATTTCCTTTCCTCTGACCAATGTCGTAATAATCCAGATATAAAATGTCGTCGTTTTCGAAATTATACATTTTAACTCATTTTCTTATTAAAGTTAAAGTTAAAAACCTAATTTTCATATCGTATTTATATAAAATAGTGCAGTAGTTTGTTTGATGGATTTTATAAAAATAGGACTGGCCCCTCTCCACAAACAAGTGTTTCTGACTATCACCTTGCAAAAAATTACAAATTTTTATCTTAACAAATGCACAAGACAAGAAATGCGAAAAGGACACGAACATTTCCTTTTTACACTGTACATGCATATTAAATGCTATACACATTAAACTGATTACATTTATTAAGCCTCCTTCTTAAATACGAATGTGATTTAATTGTGATTTGTTATTTAATTGAACTGTAGATAGCAGAAAAATATGTTGCTTAAACTTTCCAAACTCATATAATACATAAATCGTAGCATTGATAACAAATGTTTCACTGTAAAAAAAACTAAAATTAATTTGTAAATTTTCCTAATTCTTCTATGTATATAGTAAATAAAAACAAACTATTATGTAGTAATATAAACGTTTATCCATGAATCATAATAATCCAAATAAAAGATTACTTAAAATACTCGTAAAAATTTACAAGTTAATAATTTGAAAAATAAAATATCTATGATTCAGTTTGGAATCCACCCATGCTTAGAAATTTAGTATGGAAACATTGCGGAAATGCCACAAATTCATACAGTTGCAACAGTTGACTGGTGAAATGTTTTCAACGATGGGGAGTGGACTTAATTTTGATTAGTATTATATACGGTAAATCCACTTTCCAAATTGTGAGACATATACATGATAAGAAAGAGTAATAGTAATTAATAAATCCAGTTAGTATTTATACCCACAAAGTTAATTAAACATTATCACAATTATTTTATTACTTTCGCTTGTAGATACTAAATTTTGTTGTGTGTGTGACTATAAAAGACGACACAAAACCAAATATTAATTTTTAAAAAGTGGACTCCCCTCACTTTCGGAACATCACAATACATTTGATTAATTTTTAAAACAAATTTACAAAAAAAGTTTAAAATAAATTAGACAACGAACGAAGGTGTAATCGGTGACGAAGATGTTGCTGTTAGCTTTGATGTTAGTGAGAAAAGATGGAGCTTATAGATCTTCATCATCATCGGGTAGAGCAACGTTGGCTGCCTCCTAAAACATGCAAAGAAGTACATCATAATTTAGATAGCTGCCAACTTCGATACCAATAAAAAGTAGTTTGTTTTAAATCGTGCCCTTACCTGGAGATCGTTTTCAATCTGTCGTTGCCAAGCAATATCCATGTGGACCTCTGGTGGAGCGAGTGCTGGCATGGCGACGAACTCAAGGTTGGGATCCCCAATAAGTTTACGAGCCAGCCAGAGAAATGGTTTCTCAAAGTTGTAGTTGCTCTTAGCGGAGATATCGTAATATTGTAGATTCTTCTTCCGATGGAAAACGATGCTCTTTGCCTTCACTTTCCGATCCCCGATGTCAACTTTGTTCCCTGTACACACAACAGAAAATCATCACGTAAATTTGTCGCTCATCATGTAAATCTTTCTTTAGACTTTCATTCCCGTAATAATTTTATAAACTCACCGCAAAGTACGATAGGGATATTGGGACACATCTTGTCCAACTCGTGGTACCAGTTCGGCACGTTCTTATATGTGACCCGAGAGGTCACATCAAACATTACAATGGCACATTGGCCCTAGAGAAAACACAAAAAAATATAAAATTACTGATTTAAATTATACACGAGTCGTCCTCCCGTCCACCACCACCACCATCATGGCCTACACACGTATTCATTCAACCTTACCTGAACATAATACCCCTCCCGTAACCCTCCGTAGCGTTCTTGACCCGCTGTGTCCCACACCTTGAAACAAACGGAGCCTCTCGACGTATTGAAGACCAGGGGGTGGACCTCCACCCCTATTGTCGCTTCGTACTTTTTCTCGAATTCTCCAGTCAAGTGACGCTTGACGAAGGTGGTTTTCCCAGTCCCTCCATCCCCCACCAAGACACACTTGAAGGTCGGCATGGTCTCTTCCTTCTTCTCCGCCATGGTGACCACTTTTAGCTACGACGTATTTTAGTATGTATTATGACTTAATTTAACTAAATCTTTCTTCTCCTATTTTTTCGTGTTACTTGATGAAAACCAGTCATTTCATGTACTGATCGAGAAATAACACATGAATAAATGCTAAACAAACAAACAAACAAACAAACACGACAAAATCAAACACTTGGCGACGATGACAAGGCGACGTAGGCAGGCAAACGAGTAGACGATTGACCAGAACTAGACTGAGGAGTGAGGAGGTTTGTCGAAGTGAGGAGGAGAGATGAGATGAAAAGTTCATTAGCCCAGCCTCAAATGTGAAAGGCTATGGCGGTTGGCCATTGGCTAAGGAGGCAGCGTGACTTGCAGTCTGCGAAAATAAATTTCGCACTCACTCCACTCACTCCACTCCACTCCAACGACAACTTTCTCGGACTGTTGCCTGCAAAGTAAAAAAAATTGAAAAAGTAGATATAAATATAATGCCTGTTGATAGTGCAGCCGCGAGGGCTGCTAGATTTGATGTTCGACGTAAAATAAATGACGAATTTGTAGCGAATTTACGACACAAAGGACTTCATAGTTTGTCAGGTAATCTAATGTAGTACGGAATTGACAATGTCAGGGTATGATATTTATATGTAAAATATGGATTGTGGATAAATGTGGATTTGTGAAGACGTAATATTGTTGTGTAATCTTGTCTTGTTGATTTTTCTTAATTCTTAAATAATTTATGGAATTTTGTATTTTACTGTTTCGCAGGAGAAATAGACCGCTGTCTAAAGAAAGTATCTGAAGGAGTGGAAACATTTGAGGATATTTGGCAAAAGGTCCACAATGCGACGAACACCAATCAGAAAGAAAAATATGAAGCTGATCTCAAAAAGGAGACCAAGAAGCTCCGAAAGCTTCGTGATCAAATTAAATCTTGGATCGCGTCCGGTGAGATTAAAGACAAAAGTACACTTGTCGATACCAGAAAACTTATTGAAACGGTGAGTTATAATAAAACTAAAACAACTTTAAGCTCATAATAGTTAAGTCAAAATTAATATGCAAATGAACAAGTCTTAATAGCATTTTTTTTACTTTGTGCAGCAAATGGAGCGATTTAAGGTTGTCGAAAGAGAAACTAAAACGAAAGCCTATTCAAAGGAAGGACTTGGAGCTGCTCAAAAATTAGACCCCACGACGAGGGAGCGAGAAGACCTGAACAATTGGTTAATTTCAGCTGTTGACTCGATGCAAATTCAAATTGATTCCTTCGAGTGTGAAATCGAGTCCATTTTAGCTGCAAAGAAAAAGCGCTTGGATAAACATAAGCAAGACCGACTCGACGAATTAAAAACCTTCCTCGAACGACACAGGTTTCATATAACAAAATTGGAAACTCTGATGAGAATGCTTGACAATCTAGCAGCGGATGTTAATGAGGTCAGTGTAAGATAGTAAATCTATAATAAACATTAATTAATTAATTTTCATTCAGTTAATGATTAATTTTCTTGTAATTACAGCTTAGAACATTTTTAAGTCAAGTCAAAAACAACAAAGATGACATCGATTACTACTAGAGTCCAGTCAAGAACCTGAATTTGAAGTGAATGAATTTATTTACGATGATATTGACGGTCTCGATGACGATTGTCTCGTCAGCCAACCAGTCGGCGGTGGTACGGAAGAAAAAGGAGCAGAAGAAGAGTTGCCAATATCAATTACAACATCTTCTGGGAACAACTCACCAAGTTCCCCCGTTCATTCCAGTGATGCTTCAGATCCTGAAAAGAGGAGAAAATCTTCAGACGACGTCTCTGTCAAAGTCGTCAGGCCTGTTCCGGCAAAAGCGGTGGTTCAGTCGAATCATAGTCCAAGTCCTGTAGCAGGAAAGACTGTCGGAGCGGTAGGAACACCCCCCAAGGGTGTCGGTACTCCAAATAATTCGTCTCCCAGCTCAGGGTTGTCCAATCACGTCTCCTCGCTCTCGTCTCTGTCTTCGTCCCCCACTCACAACTACCACAATGCTCTCAATAACTCTAAATCCATAGGTAACGGTGATGGTATAGCTAGCATACAATTTAATCCTAATTTTATGACAAGGGGACAATTTTGTTCTTATTCGGTTGTATTCTAGGCCACCCTGATCTAACGGAGCACAAGGACGGCTCTTCGATCACAGGTGGTTTATGTTTTCGGGGTTTGTCCAAATTTTCAGTCATGGATTCCAGCATAATTAGAGGTATGTGTAATTAAGAGCATTCAATAATTAGTGATGTTTTTTATTTGTAAGTGATTAGTGGTTAATTTTTACATGGTTGTTTAACTTTAGGGCCCTTGGGTGGTATGTCAACAGTAAACGGGAATGGGGGTCCGATTGATGAGGATCATTCAAGTCCACATACTCAGTTATTAACATCATGCAGTACACCAATTACTGGATCCAGCTTAACCATGGAAAATGGGCTTATCTCCTCTTCCCCTCCACAAGAAACGACGTGTAGTAATAACAACAACATCTTGTTAATGTCATCCTTCTCCTCGACTGAGACAAGCGGTGTGAATGAGCGCCCCTCCTCCCACTCGTCCCAACAATTACAACTCCAACACCAACTCTTTGGAGACTCCTCATCATTATTGTCATCGACGATGGAATCACTTTCTAACTCATCATCTCTTCAGCAACCTTCTTCGCACATTCAGCAAGCTTTTAATGGACTTGGCTCCGTTACCGGGGCGGCGAGTAATTTATCTGAAGGATTTGCGTCAAACCTGGGTGTTAGTAGTAATTCCCTGATTAGCAGCATTAACAATAGTAGTGGTAGTATTTCTTGCAGTGTTATTGGTGACACGTCTAATGTGATCGGACTACCTAACATAATTGGTGTGAGTAGTGGTGGTAATCAACAAATTAGTTCCACTGGGGATCACATCTCCAGCGCTTTAGTTTGTGATGGTGGTGACGAGAGTGCGACGACGACGACCTCAGTTGCTATCTTCTCCTCCTCTTCGAGTGGTGGTGTGACAATGTTTGCTACGTCGAGTAACACTTCTAGTAGTTTCAGTGCGAGTGGTGCTGGTGTTTCCTCCAGTCATAATAATTCCAATTCGGGCATCTTGTCTCAGCAACATATTCATCAGTTACAACAGCTCCAACAACACCAAGGGCCCATCAGTCAATGTGAAACCGTAAGATATAATACAGTGGGCATAATTAAAAAAAAACTAGATTATCTGGTTAATAAAACGTATCTCCTCGTTTAATTTCAGAACCTGGACCCGAATATTTCAGAATATCTGAAAGTTCGGGATCAAATTTTGTTTAACGTTCGTAGTGAATCAGAATTCATGGCTTCTTTGAATTCCATAGTTCACGATGTTCTTGATTCCAGTGTTGGGGATAATGGTTAGTTTGAATGCTTCATTTGTCTCAAAATGCATTCAATCCTAATCAAACATCCCTCTTCTTGATGTAGCCTATGTGAGTCCTGATGTTCCTCTGCAAGAGGAGCATCAACTTCAATTCCAAATGATGGAAGCTGCCCATCAACACCTTCCTGTTTCTGCTGATAGTGAACGCATGCGTCAGATTTTACCCAGAAATCCGTACCCAACGCCACTCTATTATCCACAAGTATGTCAATAATGATTACTCAAATTATTGGCTCCTGTCCTGTTTTTAGATGTTCCTTATTAATAACAACTAATTCTCTATATTCTAGCATCCATTATCAAATTCTGATACCTATGAATTTTTCAACCGGCTATCGGTAGAAACGTTGTTTTTCATCTTTTACTATCTGGAGGGTAAGTAATATGGTTTGAAGAAATGTGCGGTCGAACTATTTCTAAATTTATTAATTCATTAAAGGAACGAAAGCGCAGTACTTGGCCGCAAAAGTTTTGAAAACACAATGTTGGAGGTACTCATTTTATTCTGTCTATTCTATTTATTGGATATATCCGTAATTTATAAAACTCGGTCATTTATAACAACTTATTAATATTATAGGTTCCATACAAAATACATGATGTGGTTCCAACGCCATGAGGAACCAAAAGTGATTAATGAAGAATATGAACAGGTAAGACATGAATATTTTCACACATTTTACTATTCTGAAAGAGAAAGTAGTTAATTTCTAACTCAACCACCACGATTTACTTGTGCAGGGGACATACGTGTATTTCGATATAGAAAAGTGGGGTCAGAGGAAAAAGGACGGATTCGTGTTCGAATATCGCTATTTAGAGAATAGAGATTTGAGATAATCGCGTCACACATCAAGCAAAAACAACATATAACAAGCCATCAACGTTCTCATTCATGCTACTGATGTAGTTGTTAATTTTAAACAATGTTTTTGTTGTTATATAAGAAACATACAAATTTTAAGCAAATTAACTGTGTATCTCCTCATTGTTTTATCATCTCTCGTTATTCTCCTATCAGATTTCGTATAAATTTTGACGGCGTTGATTTTGTGGTGAAATTTCCTTTAAAATGACATCCCATATTAAAATTATGGTTAAATTTAATTTTGGATCAGACCCCCTGGCGCTGTGGGGTGTGACTCCATTTTCTAACGATCGAGAACTAAAAATTAGAATCACAATGGCGAAAACGGGGTTGATTAGATATGTTGAAGCGTTTCGGAGATATCCTGCCCACGGGCGGAGAGGTGGACGAACAAAGCGATCACACTAATGACTAAGCGCTGATGCCACTTAATAATTATGAGAATTGTAATTTCATTAAGAGGTTGATCTGTTTTTTTCTGTAAAGATTAGCTTAACTGCATAGATAAATATTTCAATGAAAATTTCCAATATGAATTAAATTCTAGAATGAGTAATTAAGACATAGCTTTTGAAACTGTTGTAGCAATGCTTTTATTATGTCAACAGACGGTAGCATGCGTGGATCGTGTGTTACAAAGATACATAGACAAGGTAAAGTTTAATAGTTATAGGTTCAAGTTTTAAATTGGTACGGGGTTATGAATTTCTCAAGATCACACACACTAAGCGATACGTGTAGCTTACTTTAAGGAATGACCTTACTTAACATAATATATTACAAAGAAAATACAACATTGTCTGCCACGTATCACTTTCAAGATATAGACACGAATCACTTATTTTATCGATATATAAATTCAACGATATGCTAAACTTTCTACTTTCTACTTTTCGTACATGCAGTACAAATTACTCTACTTTTCTTGGGTGAAATGTTTAAACCCACGGACAATACTGTAACCGAAATACAAATGCATATCGTAGTAAATTATATATCGGGTGACCAAACGAGTTTTAAACCAACTCGTTCCAATTACAGCTAGTTATTGTTTTTGGGAAGGTGTTTGAGAGGAGTAAGTTTTTGAAATGGTGACGCTTTACTAACTATTAAATTATTATTAAAGTCCCACGTTGTCTTTATATGTGGCTTTTACAGCAGGTCGCGTCTCATTATATTTACTATCAGACAACACTACAAATGGCGATGACTATTTGTTCATCATCGCAATAAAATCACTAATAAAATCGAACATAGCTCATCAAGACATGAAGTTTTTTTTTACAAGTTTTTTTAAATATTAGTAATCGTGTAAATTCAGAACGATATTAGATTGGATTTCGATGAGTGAGCGATTTTCCTTGTCGAAAGCGGAATCACAACACGGTGTCCAACATCTCGAACGATTGAAGTATCGTCTGGTCTCTGGAGCACCATTCAACCAACTCATCGATTGTGACGACGCCGTCCTTGTTGAGATCAATTTGCTGGAAATCAAAAAAATATCAGTTACATGAGTGCATTACATTATGTAAGAAATTTTAATAACTCATTAATTGTAGCAAGTTTCATGAAAACAGCTCCCTCATCTGTCTCACTTTCCTATCAATTAGTTTTCATCTCACAGGTATATCTTCTACTATAGATCTGTATATATTATAATCTCATATTATGCATCGTACAAATGAAAAGTGAAATACTCTGCATTCCATTTGCGCTATACGTTTTGCCACTATTGAATAGATCATGCGTGTTAGTATTATTGTATGCACTCCGCAAAGCCCAACATTTGCATAGACTTCAAATGTCAAAAATCAAATAGATATTCAACAGTTGCATAACAGAAACTCATTTTTGACAGGTGTTTCAATCCTTATTAAACCGCTGTCAACCGGATCTAGACTTTGTTCGAGTGATCCAACTGACATTTTTGTGCCAGAGCAGCAAGAAGCTACCAAATGTCGAATTATTCTCTGCTTACGTCACTGCACTAACTTGACTCTATTATTTCCTAAAAGGTAGTTGGTTGGTTGGGCAAACTTTGTACTTGCATTGATTCATTAACTACAAAAAATTGGCAGTAGACAAAAATTGCATTAGTGGTAATGGCCCGTCACAAAAATGAGATTAGTGTAATCAAATTGCATAAACCTCATGCAGTAACACAATTAGTATGATTGCATAGTCAACCCGCCAGGAGGGCATTAATGGATTTCATATAGTCTTTTTTTTATAAAAACAAGCAAGTATCGAGTCAACCTACGACTAAAAACCAAAAAATTATCAACTCAAAATACATGAGAAATGCCCATCCCGAACTAGTAATTTCATGGAGGTGTTCCATCGACTTGCTGGAAATTACATCAAGACTACATGCACAACAAACGTTATTGTTTTGCATGTTAATCGGAAGTTCATTCGTAAGCCTAGCTGCATTGATGCTTGTTACGTTTATGCACACATGTGTCAACCCTTTAACTTTCCGCTCACTCCAGTCAAGGGAACAAAAGCTTGTCAAGGACTATGAATAATAATCAATTACGTGACATCATTTTATATGACGGCTTGAGTTGTAACGCTTCCTTTTTATATGTTTTCAGTGATTAATTGATTCCTCTCAATACGTTCATGCATTCATTCATTCAATAATTATTACACCATGTGGGACAGATTTCTAAACAAATGTCATAGACCAAACTCTACTAACACCATATTTCTATAGACAAAGAAACACTTTTGCTTCCATTCATGGCAGGCTGCCCACAGAGTACCTGTCGTCGTTTTACATAATTTGATTTTAAAAATATACATGATTTTAATGCGATATGATGATAAAATGGTTTGCATGATTTTGACCCATAATTGTATGACTTTGGTATTGAAGAGGCATGTTGAGACTGGCAAGAGGACGAAAAGTAATTTGAATGGTGCCAACTTGACGGAGTTTAAGTAGAATTTTGTTCGTATTTTATCTGTAAAAATGTACTCCCTTGAACTTGTTGAACCTTTTTCACCTTTTGTCTCATTGGTTCTTTATTTTGTGACGGTATCACCCTAGCGTCGGTAGACTACTCATTCATTGGTGAATTGTAAATCTGGGTGGACTTTGTCTGTGGGAAGTGAGTACTTTTAAGTTTGTGAAAAGTTGTAATTTGTTAAGTTCCAGTTTAGACTCGGTGGAAGAAGCATTGTCCACTTAAAAGTCTGTGTCTCAATGTTTTTGTATTGGAACTTCCCTGTCTTTTAAATTCGACTAAGTTTTATAAATGTGATTGGACTAATTGGTTTTCTATTAAAAATAAAGACAGTGTAATAAGCACCACGGCGGTGAACAATATTGTTATTTTGTGAATGTTGCAAAATCATCAACCACCCCCATCCCGACCTTAACGGCTCACGAGAAGTGTCATAGTTTCATCCGTGGTAAAATACACCACAGTACCAGTGTTCTATAAGAATCCGAATCACGACAAAATCTGAAATTGGATTCATGCAGAGCACTACTACCTCTTGGTTATAGTTACATAAACTTAGGATGAGTGAGGGCGTTATTCCCAGTAGCAAAAGAGAGATCAAAGCTACCATGAGAAAATTGTGCCACACATTATCAGGAAGTAGCTTGATGTAAGAAAAAAAAATGTTTTACATGAAATATCCTCTCGACGTGGTCCTTGGCAGAGTGTTCCTCCACTTGGGGTTCCGTATTGTGTCCCAACATTTCGTAAATGCTGGTCACCACGTCAAGCATCTCCTTCTTGGTAATAAGTCCATCACCGTTTAAGTCGTACAGCCCAAAGACCCAGTGAAGCTTTTCCTGCATCGTACCTCGCGACACTTTGGAAAGAATTCCGAGAAATTCCTAGAACCAAAGAGAGAAAGTCGTCAGAATCTGAGTGCCTGCCATACCTTCGTCCTAATTACGCCTTCCAGCCGATACAGACGGCTTCCTGCCAACTAAGATGAGGTTTATTATAGAATGCTATTTTTATTTCTGGTTTCACGATTCAACTTCAACCAGCCAGTCAGTATTGTCGCCTTTATTAGTCCAAGCGACTAATAAAGGCGACGATACCGGTAATCGAACTGGATTCGAGTGACTATTTTTATTACGCTAAAGTACTCATGGCAGATAGAAATTCTTGTTCATTTCCTTTTATCGCAATTTTCCGTGGCGTCTAAATCTCCCGATGTGAAACAATTGAATTAAACGTAGAGTAATTTTATTATTTTTATTACTCCACGACTACTGAACGCTGACATTGGAAAATTGAGCAGACTTTCTTTCTTTCTTTCCGTAAGCATGACTGGGAAAAATATTATTTTTCAATTTTCTATACGTTCGTCCGTTCGTTTTTGGGCGACTTATCTAACAGAAAAATTAGTCTGGACGACTGCACATGGCTGCAGAAACATAACGAGAAAATGATTTGGTAACTGCTGCTTCGCCGACATGTGAATGTTATTGGGAATAAAATTGTTTGTTTCTGGAAAGCAGAAGAAGAGGTAGACGAAGAAACGACTCACCTCGAAACTAATTTGGCCAGAGGAATTCTTGGTGAGAGTGTTGAAGACATAGTGGGCATATTGGGTAGCATCTGTAAAAAATGGGGCATACATGTAACCAAAGGAAAACCTGCAAGGTCACGAATTCAGTGGGTTTTTTACCCCCCTGTGGGAAGAACTGGGCGAAGATATCCTTGAACGCGTCCTCATCAACAAGGCCGGTTGGACATTCCTGAAAAATTCAGTAGATTGACATTACTAAGGGACACGATCATGCACATCTGATCCTAAAACTAAGCACCATTGCCACCCGGCTAACTGAACGATTAAACTTTTGACTTTTATTCTTGTCACGAATACGCCTTAAATACAATCTCATCTGTTGTAACAGCAGCCTCTTAAATAGTTTAGCTGCTTTGGAATTTAGCTCAAAAGTTTTCTTGATGTCGTTTCGTTGCAGAATTGCTACGTTGCGTTTTCAGAGAAAAAACTTTCGTGAAAACTTGAGACATTTTCATGTCAATACAAATGTCCAGATGTCGTTTACTAACTATAAGAGTAAAAAAACCTTTTTTCGCAAACATTTGTTAATAAAATTATACACGGAAGGCTTGAGAATATGTGTTCGAGAAAGGTCGGACGACACATAAAATATTGAGAAACCAATTTATTATGCAAACTTTGTGCAAATTTATTGCAAACTCAAATTATCTCTCTCTCCTCTCTCTCTGCCGGCACGATATGTCATGCCAGAACGACAACCATGAAAAGGTCCAGTCTCACAGTTTTGTAGTCATCCGTCAAAAATTAATGGCACCACAGGTACATAGGCGACTGACTACTGCGCTTTGTATTCTTCTTCCAGAACACTATTACCCACCTGTTCAGTACAACGACGTGTTCAATTATCTCTGAAACATTATCCTCGATTAGACTGTTCGCGTTTTTTTCACTTTCCCTTCAACCCCTTGGGAGGAAACGGGAAGGAAGATGCTGCTGCTGCTCCTGGTGAGCAGACTACCTTTTTGCACATAATACACCGCCCACGTAAATTGCGGACTTTCATCAAAACCTAACCTGGCTTGCTAAGTACGTAACATAGCTTGTTCATTGTATAATAATAGTAAAGAATCCAGGTTAGACCAAGCCAAGCAGAATTCATGCATTATCTTCCCCTCGCTAAAACAGCACCAAGTTCATTCGCTAAAAAGAACACGGGTCGGAACTCACTTTCCCGAGTCTCAAGTTTTTTTTCTCATTTACAAATTTTCCACTTCACATAGAACTTTTTTCTATCTCATTATTTCCCCCGTTGTAAAACATTAGTTTTTCGAGATACCAATTAGAGACACCGTATGCACACTCGGAGTCACTTTTACTATGAAATACTGACCATGTAATACCATTAATTATATTTTAATAATGCACTACTTTCATTTGTTAATACCTGCTTGAAACCGCGGTAGATTAACTGGATCTCCTTCCGTGAGAATTTTGTGTTCTTGGCCAACTTACTCAGCTCTTCGGGACGATATCGAGCCACGTGTAGAGTTAATTCGTCAACTTCATCCTCTGAAAAATACGCATAAAAATTAGTCCTAGACAGAAAACACCTGGATATATGTCAACATGAGAGAAAAAGAGTTCAAAAGTTATTAGCGTAATGTTAATGTCAGCGCGTTTTTTTTTGTCTACGCTACTTTTATCGAGTTCAATTTTGATCCAACTTACATATTTCTTGATTAATTAGGGTTATTTTTTCTACTCCGTGTTTATGTAACTCTTTGCATCATAACATGCTTACGAGTATACCAATGAACAGTAAGCAAAGCAAGAAGTTTTTTTTGTTGGAGAGAGGAGACGGGAAAGTAGGGGGTGAAAGGATTACCATATAACATAGAATACGGTGTCGTAAAATGAGATTCGTACCCAATATTTATACCAATTTGGTCTTTCTTCTTCTCCGTCTTGGCTATTTCTTTACTATTCTAAATAAATAGGAGGAAAAACTAGGATCGCATATATTTATGGTCTGGGGCTCAGTGGAATGTATAAATTTGTGCCTGTTCCACTTGCGTTTCATTTCCTACCATCTCAAAATGATGCGGTGAAGCAAACGGAGCAGAAAGTGCATTATATTTCCAGTTATGTAACAAAGCAGTCATTGTCTGTTGATCGCCAAGCAAGTGGTGAAATTGCATGTGCAAAATTAGCGGTTTCCTCTTTCTCGGGAGAACCAGTGGCTACACGTATGGATGAGATGAAGCACAATACGTACGTATTTATGAACGTATGCGGATGGCTTCTTGGCAACAAAGAAAAGAGGAGCGTATCAGTCAGTCAGAGTTGATGATGAATGCCAATCTTGCGGGTGTAGTTGGTTGGTAGTGGTGAAAGTGAAAGTGAAAGTCGGATTGTTGGAAGGGTGGACAATGTGTGGTGGTGGTGGTGATGATGCCTTCATCATTTTTTAGCCTGGTTCTCGTGGTGGCTTATAATTTCCCTTTCATACCGAAAAGGCGAGGAATTTGTAGAATATTCTCGGTTCTTCTTTCCTATTCAGATGGAAATGGAAAACAGTGCGGTTTTTGAGTCCCCATGGATTCCTTTTGTATTATTATTAGTTACTCCCTGACTAGGCAAACGTTTTTCTTGAAATGAAATATGGCCAGCCATCCGCATCCTCTTCTTCTATTGTTAATTAATTCATGAAGCACTGATAAAACGTCAGTCTGATACCATAACAGCAACTAACTTACGAACCACAACTGTCTGTTCTTTTTAGCCCTTTTTCCACCATGTCGATGGCTAAACACCATTTCAATTTCATATTTAAATAACTTTCCCCATGTAAACTTTTCTGGAATGAAATTAATTATATGCATCGCCCTATGTCTAGATTTTGACTATTTAATTAACAACATCACCATGAAATGTATTTACACACGGCTCATACTCAATTAATCACGACCCATCAGCAATGTAGGTAATATACAGGGTATTCCGACCCAGGGTTTTATTGGGTTGGGTTTTTTGGGTTTTAATGGGTTTTAATGGGTTGTTAACGAATAAAACCCATTGGGTTTTACCATGTTAAATGGGTTTTATTTGGGTTTTAATGGGTTTTATTCGGGTTTTAATGGGTTTTAACTGTGTTTCAGCTTAAAACTATATTCTAAAAGCTGAAAACAGCTGTCGTACGTTAGACGAAGTTGTTTCATGGCAGCTAAGCAGTTTATTTGATTAATACTGTAAGTTTTAAAAACCAGGAATAAATCAGCGAGTGCCATTACAAGTTTCAAGTGACAAAAATATTTAAAAATAATAATTTCGGAACGAGGTATGTTTAAGTGAGCATACATAATTTAATTACATTTAATTTACATTTTGCTGTCATAATTAATACTTTTTTCCCGAATACTTCCTCTCATCTCAGCGAATAAATTAAACAAAATACTGTAGTATTTTTTTAATTTATAAAGTTTTTTAAAATGTTTCAAGGCGATCTTAATTATCACCTCTGGAAAAATCGAGTACTTATGGACAGCGAAGTACCTTATTATGAGCAAAAGAAGTGTGTCTGTAAAAAGCACTTATTATATTCTCGATCATAATACATACGTACTTTCATTGTTCATAAGTACTCGATTTTTTCCAGAATTGATAATACACGTTAAGATCGCATTGAAATATTAAATTTTAAAAACTTTTAAACTTGGATTTCATTATGATGAGAGGAAGTATTCGAGAAAGAGGTAATATATATTCTCATAAAGTATTAAACTATGATCAGTTAAACAGGACTATTTCGAAACGGATACAAATTCTAACATGGACAAGTAGGATTTGCATATTAATTGAAATTGGATTGCAATAGTAGTGAAAATTGTTGTTCAATGTATTACTTATGTAAAACCTAATAAAACCCAATAAAACCCATAAAACCCATTAAAACCCATAAAACCCATTAAAACCCAAAAAACCCATTAAAACCCATTAAAACCCCTGGGTCGTTACTTTTTGATTAAAACCCTGGGTTTTTCCGAACCCTGGAATATATGAGGCCCTTGTTGGTTATCTTTCCACTGAAATTTATAAATTCCACTTTAAACCGTACTTGGTAAAAGACAATCCTTCAACCTCAACCTCGAAAGGAGAGGATTGCACAAGAAGAGCTCGGCGAAACAACAAAGTCATAAATAATAACCCGGCTGGCTAGTGTTTTCGACGGAATATTTCCTTGTGTGTGTTTTTGTCTGTATTCACAGTAGTGTTTGTTAAAATCTCGTCGAGAATGAATGACCAGTGAGCAATTTTGTGAAAGGCTATTTCTTAACGCCACACCATTACAATGATTAATGTTTGGACAAAATGGTAAGCGATTTGAGACTCGAATGGAAATATCTTCTTCTTCTTCGTCATCTTCCAAGCCAAGCCTTTTGACGGTCCGTGTCACTCGTCCAGTATTTATCATCATTACGAAAGATGACTTCTTGACACGCATTCCCCAGATAAGAAACTCGTCAAGCCAGAAGGCAGACAAATATCGTCAAATAGTAAATAACGCAGTTTCCCTCAAACCATACCGGCTACGTTTTGACCTTGCTGTCCTTCAGGTTTGCAGATAGTGATAGGACATAAACTATAATGGCCATGGATGAGAATCTGGGAACACCATCAGCATAATTCACTCATTACCGCACTTTTCCAATTTAAAATTAGAACTATTATTATATTTTACACGAAATTACGTATTTAATAGAGTAACATAATTTTATTTACACAAGTCTTTATGGAAAGTAAGCACTTCTTCATAATTAGCCACATATAAAAACATACTTAGATAAGCATCCACACGGATTAATACGCAATCCGTATTACACGTACCCCATCGAACGACCAAGTCGAATTTGGAGAGCCCAATCCACATCAAACCGTAGTAGTAAGTCGTAAAGTAGAAATTGCTACTTTGCATAATGCGATGCAAATGCAAACTAACCCTTTCATTAAGCCCATTTGACATGGAATTACAAGTGGAGAATATTAATTTATTTGCCTGGTTCAGTTGCGAATATACTTAAGGGTAAAAGTTGAACATTTTCCGTCAAAACTTTGAAAGACGACGACGACGACGACGACGATGACTTTGCAAGTAGTATTAAGTAAGCAAAGCGAGCATGAAAGGAAATGACAAAGTTTATTCGAATCGTTGTTTGCAAACATCAAGAAAGAGTCAAAGTCTTTCCCTATTACAGATGGGCAATAAAAAGTTGCGAAATAAAGAAAATGTCAATAATTAATTAAGGCAACTCTCTCATAGCTATTTTCCTTCCTAGAGAAATAATCACATAGCACAGACCAACTTACTTAACCTGATTGGGGACGCAGTTTCAGTAAAAGTCTAAAATTGGGCACACTAACGATCCATCCAAACTTTAAATGGATCAAGCACACGGTAGCCGAGTGTAGTTGTACAGAATGTTGTCATTAAATTATACAAAATGCTTTATGCGAGCATACATAACCGGAGCAAAGGTGCACGATGAAAAATTTCCTAGTCGCACCTTTCCCAGTTTTAATTCATCGATTGAACTTTACTTGCACAACTCTCGCTCTTTCTCTCGACTACTTTTTCTTCTTCTTGAAGGAGGCCGTGTCATTGTGCAAAATATGAAATAAATTTGAAAGTAGAAAGTAAGGATGAAGAACTTGGAGGAAGAAGAAAGAAGCTGCCACGCTTTTCATATTATTAATACCACGCACGCCGCATTATGCCCGCTTGCTGAGCCATACACAAGATTCTTAGAACTCCAAATATCTACTCGACAAGGAGGAGAAGAAGAAGACGAAAAAGAACTTTTGCAGAACCACACTTTCAAGGAGAACGAAGCGTTTTCTATTACTTTGCCTCCTCTTCCTCGTCCCAGTTGTAGTACATCTGCATGAGTGATATATGGTTATAAATATTGAGGAAAAGTAACAGAATGAGTGAGTGTGGAAACAGATAAAATCCAGACAGAGAGAGAGAGAGGAAAGTCGGTTGTTCCTCTAACACAAACGCCGTAGATAGCATAATCTGCTGTCTCTCTACTACCACTACTTTACGTAACATGCCAATGCCAAACACAAAGTTTACTTTGACACAAAAGTTCCCCAACAGAACAGACAACCTGAGCCCTTTTGGTTTAGAAATCACAATCAATTCTGCCATAAGCTCCAAGTTCAAAGTGCAAATTTAAACTCGTCCTCATTCATTTGGGACTTGAAGCTAACTTGCCATCCAACGTTCCCTGTGGGAGAGTGAAACATGTAGCATAGAATTTGCTGATGGTCACAGATTTCCCTTTGACCTCAGACGTGATTGAGGAAATGGAAGTAGACCTAAAGGTTTGATTCTTTAGTATTCTCTTTGTTTCTGTGTGTCAGGAGATCAGTGGGATTCAAGTGCAATGACGGATAAATGTATGGGAACATATGCTCGTAAAATTGCTATGATTCGTCATCTCTGCCGTGGTTTATTGGCTGGCATTTGTTTAGAGTTTGGTGGGGGTATGTTTTTTCTTGTGTAAATAAGGGCATAAGTTATCCGCCTTGATTTCGGGTTTGATTTAACCTCTTCGTGCTCGCCTTGTTGACATTGTTTCTTTGACGCAGGAGGAAAGGAACGAGGTACGGCTTGTGGTGGACTCATTGATCTTTCAGCGTGTGTAATAACCTCCTCCGTTCACGTTTATTTTTATAAAACATATGGCTTCACCTTTAACTTGTTTCATGCCCCCGTGTGCTCCCTCACAAACAAATGTTCATGGCAGTTCTTTGTGTAACGGATCTGTCGGATTCGAGTAATTGTTACGAATGTACTTCCTACTACCGCAAAGAAAAGAAGAATACGTACCTAAAGAGCACCGCACAACGGAAGTATCAGTTCCACCATTTTTGTGGAAAAAGGCCAGATTAATTTGTACCTATTTAGTTTCCTTGCGTCTGCCAACACACAAGTACATGAGGATGAGATGAGGGAAGCCATCAAAATTGGCCACGCAAAAAAATCTCGAGAAAAACAAAGGGCCGAACAACGGATGCAGTTGTCTGTGTGGTTCTGCATCTGTCTTTATGTAACTTTCGAGGAAACCTCACTTCTCGAGAAATCTACTCTTATTTTTTCAACTTTCTTTGCTTTTATTACGACGATCTAACCATTCGACTTGATGCTAACCACGTTTCCCATTTGGGACCTTTTCAACTCTTACTTGGTTCTTCTTCATCTCTGACCATCAAGACCAAACGGAGACGGCTGTGGGATGAGTGACTAAAGTGACTTATTCCCGCAGAGATGTCGGCAAGATTTCATGGAGAACAATGAGCAGTGAAAACGACCAACTTTCTTCTCTGACAGGAAAGACTAGCACATGGATTTGATTCTGTCCAAGAGAAGGAAACAAAATTGAAGGCTGGCTCGAGGCCGATGAGAAAGTCTGTCAAAATCCGAAATCTTTTTTCCCCCCTTGTGGTTGCATCCCATAAAATGAAGAGATCCACCTCGGAGAATAAAAATCATCTGTACCCTTAATCCCCTCACACGACATGGGATATTTGGACAATGCGAGAAGGACATTAAGAAAATTCAACCCATATTAAACCCAGTTCTTTCACTTTTCTCAGATCACATATTTCTGTCACGCGTCATGATTACGCCTCAATTCAATGTACAATGGGTTGGATACGTACATAGATCAAGTTGAAATTATAATTTGGCTCCTCCTTTTTTTGATTCAACTCTAATAAAAAGAAGGTTATTCTGATTGACCTCGGCAATAGGGTCTTATTGGCTGTTTTTTCTCCCATTTATTTCAACATCTCGTAAATTTTTCGCAATATATTTTTGTCTCAATCTAATAAAAAGAAAGTTGGAAAGCGAAAAAACGGGTGAAGGAGAAACCGGTTTTTGAATATAATATATTCCATCCCTGCCTCAGTGACTTTCCTTGAATCGAAAAAAACGTTGAAATCGTTCCACCTGAGTAAATCAACCCGTGTACGCTTCGTACTTTTATAAGTAAGTGGCCCATGCTTTCTCTCCTCAATTTCTCTCTCTCTCTCTCTCGGCATCTGGATCTTTTGCGATCATCATCAAAAACAGCTTTTCCTTGATTACAAAAGAAAAGTATCGCCTAACGCAATAAAAAAGCAATACTCTGGAGTACATTAGGCGTCTTAATAATTGGGCAGTGAGTTTTGCTCACGGTGTATGATCACATTTCACCACCACCGCCGAAACCACTTACTTTTACTTATTTCTCTTTTGACTGACCTCTAAATTTGGCTCAAGATTTAATGGTTCGTCCAAATCCTGATTTCATTACGTTTACTTTACGGCGGAGGAAACCTTTCATTGCGGCCGAATATACAAGTTAGTTTCTCCACCCACTGGAAAGTAGAAATTTTGCTACTCTAGGAAAAAGTCATCAATCGCAGGAAAACATCAATTGATCCTCCACTTGGAGGAATGATTTTGTCGAAAGGAGTATTGATGGTTGTGCATTAATGCGTCCAAAGGAAATGACAGGTTGATTGATCATCATCCCACAAACGCTGTGATATCATTCATTCAACAACGCAGCGGATTGACCCAACTAATAGATTGCTCCCCCTGATTTTCGGCTAAAACCATTTCGCATATCTGCCTCCTCCGTGTATGTACACACTTCTGGAGTCAAGAACTGAGCACTTTCCGAAACCCAGGGTTTGCATTTGTCATTGTTTTTAGAGGTGGAGAGAGAGACACATTCTGTCAAATTGGGTACAATGAAGTGGCCTGTCGTCGCGAAAGACGGATTACTGAAAAAAGTGGAGTGGTGTGATACAGTTGGAGGCGACAACGACCCAGGTGAAGCCGTTATTCATCCCAAATAATTTCATAACGTAGTCAACCAAACCACCATCGAAACGACGACTGAGTGGTTGAGAGAAAGAGAGAGAGAGAGACGGATGCCATGCTTTTTGTGAAATGACGATCCGGAAGAAGAGGTAAAAGGAAAAGTGTGTGCTTATAGACATTCTCTGAGCTTGAAGTAACTTGTGGCAGGGAGGGAGCAGGAGATCCATATTTCACAAGGTCCGTCCACGTCACATCCGCACTTTCTTCTTCTTCAAGAAGAGAAAGACGAAACAATTTTTGCTCTTCGGAAAGGTAAACCAACTAACCAACTATACGCCAGTATTTTGTATCTGCCAAAAAAACCATGCACAACACAAAATATTGGAATCATCCACTAATTTCCGTCTCGAGTATTGAATCCAGTTGGGCTTTCACCACTTACTTTTCTCCACTCTTTCACCACACCACAACTTTTCCCTGTTTCCCCAACTCGTGTGTGTGTGTGCATGTCGATGGTGGAAGGGAGTAAAATATGAAAATCCCACCATCATCCCAAAACAACACAACAATACAACTATCCTATTGCTTACTAACAAATGATATGGTCTTATGCACAAATCCACCACTCCTCGCGCAAACTTTTCCATCATCAAGTAGCGGAAATTCCATTTTTATAAATCCAACTTGTCGTTCAGGCATTCATTCGTTCGTGCCGAGTGGTTGGTGGCAGGGAGAGAAAACGGCCGTCTCTAAAGGAGGAGGAAAAAGTAATAGCAGTGGTTCTGCCAAGTCGGACGCTGTCCCACAAAACAACGACGTATATGAGTAATTCATGGAATTTTATCAAAGCACACTCTTCGGATCCTCGCCCTACTACTTTAGCCTGATCTATTTGCATGTCATATATTTTCCTTTATCCGCACCCACTCTTCCCAGAGTCGTGGATACATATGTGCGAAGGCTTTGTGCTGGGGTCTTGCAAATAAAGGAATGACGCTGTTTCCAGTTAACGACCAAAGACAGCCACTCGCAACGTCTCATTAGTTGGCAAATGTACTCCGTTACGTCGGGATTAGGAGGCTCTGTCGGCGGCAAATTTTACAATGTCGCTCCTCTGACTTTCATATAGCTTATTCCGTATTTGGAGAGACCTCAGAACGGAAGTTTCCTCAAGTCTTTTTGCCTCCGAGGAGGAGGATCAACATAATAATGTAGGACGACATGATGCTATATTATACGAGCAACATGTCGGGCCGCCGCCGGGGCCATATGATTACGTACACTTTGCTTGTTGCAATTTAGTCCTGGTAGAGATGTGCTTTAAGATAATCTGTCGTTGACAATGGCTGAATCAGTCGTTGTGCTTAAGACCAAAGTGGTGGTGGTAGTGGTGATGATGGTGTCGTAGGTTTCATGTTATGCTGGATGTGTTATGCCAAGATAACAGCCTACAATCTTCCTCTCCGACTACTATTATCAGCCAGATTTTCGGATAAAGTTTTGATGATGCTTCGCTCTCATCTTTTCTCCAGAAGTAGGAGAAGAAGAACCAACCACTCCTCTTCCTGCTTCCTCCTCATTATTAATAGCTCATTCTGCCTCATCTACCTTTCACTTCTCTGCCATTTTACCACCACCACCGACAACAAACAAACACGCACGGAACCAAACTCAGTTTCACGACGTACAGGCTGACATATCTCTCCCGAAATATCGCCAATCCCACCACCATCAACACCGAAAGAGAGAGAGAGATTATAGTGGAAGGAAGGAAGTTGCAGCCTGTCACAACAAACCCTCTTCTCCAAACCTTCTCCTTAATTTGTGTTAGGATTGATGTGGTGGATGTAGCAAGTGAATTTAATATATGCCGAGCAAGTGAGGAGGATGATAGATTCTGCTGCACGAGGAGTGAAATTGTTTATTTTCCTAGTTTCCCAAGAAGGCGAGATGATGCTGATCTGTGAAATAAAACGGGAAGAGGTAGCGAAACATGGAGCGAATTTCCGAGTAAATTGGTCAACCTTGTTATGCAACTTTTTTTTACTTACATCTTCTCTCCCTGCCTTTTAGTAGAATCAATAATCAAAAATAAACAAAAAAATAAATTGAAACTTGGTCTTTTACCTTTCTTTTTCGCCCCGAACATGGCATCACCCCCACCTCCGCCGCCTTCCTTCCTCTTAGGCCCACTGCCCTTCTTGAGAAACACATTTTTCGCCTTGGTCGCCAGATTCGTCGACTTCGACATGGGTGTTGTCGAAAATGTTGTAGTGAGTGAACAAGATAAGTGGTACCTCTTAATAGCGATACACCATTTGCAACCTATCTATCTATCACTGCTGTTTCTAGAGTCAAACCACACCTGGAAATTTAATTAGCACCTCGCCACGTATCTCGTCCATCAATTACGCATGCAAACTGACATCACGAACGCAAAGTTTGCTACTAGAATGGTGTGATAATGGTGAAAATGACGGGATTTATTAATTCATTTTTCTAACAGAAACCTCACTTCCGGCCTCGTCTCCTACTACTCCTCTCTCCTCGTTAAGCCGAGACAGAATTTGGGAAAAGTTACAAATGTCATGAACTGAAAGATAACTGTTCCCTGCTCTCTCACTTCTTCTGTGAGACGAGTCTGACTGACGGGTAATGCGATGGTTGCGCGATGAACAACTTTTTTTTCGGTTTATCTTTCTCCCTCCTCACAAAATCCCTTTCTTTCTCGTTTTCTCTGGCTTAAATCTAACGACGGGGCGACTACAGGGTCCAATTCAGGTATATTGTAACGTGTTCCCAGACCATAGTAGATCGATGTTGCAATGCAAATTCCACCGAGTCACACAATCACAAAAACCGTCCACGAGGTTATAAAATAGTACAAGCAGTTGACAACGAGCTGCTCCTGCTGCAGCAGAATCTGACACTTGACGCAAATGTAAGTTTAAGGGATCAACTGGGATCCCACTAAAACGTTATGTTCACAAAGAGCGAGTAGCAAGAGATAAAATTGACGCTGATACTTCGCCCAGGAGAAGAAATCTCGTCACAGAAGCCTTTCCCTGCTTTACCCACTTTTAAATTTATCATCTGTCTCGGAACAATGGTTATGGTCAGAATTGGGCCGCTTCAGACTTTGTTTATGCCTTGGCGAGCCTTGAGATTATTGTGTACCTACCTTGGGGGAAAGTGTTGGTGAAAAAAAACTAACTGTTGATCACAACCAAACCGAAACCACCACGGAAGAGAGCAAAAGTTTGTTGTGAGTGCAGTGAGTGTGAGAAACGGATCTGGGAACCCAGTTGGGAGAGAAAGCTGCTTTTAGTAGACGGTAAAGGCAGCAAATGAGATTTGCGCCGTCTCTGAAAACCAATCTGAAACTGTGGTCTGCTCTGGCCTGATCTGTGTGGAGAATCTCTACACCGTTTTCAGAGATGCTAAAACTACACACACACAAGTTTGAAACTGGGCCCTTGTTACGGATATCTGCGATGCTGCTGATGTTTCGACACACCGCACCACCGGGACAGCCAGAGAGAGAAGCCCGTTGTTTACAACTTTAAAGGTGCAGAGGAGTCTATATAAATACATACACGGACGGGTATAATATGCGGGTTTAACAAAGCTTTCTCCAACCAAGTTTACTTTACTTTCACCTATACGAAATAGATATGCATATGTATGTACACCTGGCTGGCTCAATGCAAAGTCACACCACGCTACGTATTACGCACCAGGAAAGGCCACTTGCTAAATTTAAACTCCAACTTCACCATCTTTTTTCTCTTTACTTCCTCTAAATGACTTAAATTATTTGTTGAGACAGATCTCGCAGAGAAATTGTATTGCGCCCAACAAACAACTTAGTCGTCTCATCTTATAGCTATTAAACACGCTTTTCTACCATCAACTTTAATGTCGTGACGATTCAGCCTAATGCAAAAGTTGGGCTGGCCTTCCATGTTGTGCTGGAGCGAGGAGTAAATTCGCCTTGAAACAGAAAATAGTTGGTCCAACTTTGGTGAACAAGTCATCGTCGTGATGTTGATGATGATGATAAGCTTGAATGCAAGATGGGCGATGGAGCAGCAGTTGGGAATATGACACCAGGAAGTGGAGAAACATCGACATATAATTCACGGCAGCAGCCCAGTCAAGTGTCCCGTGGAACATGGCATCAAAGCTTTCTCAGACACGGACCAACTCACTCATCCGTCCACGCAGTCCCACCAACCAAACCAACCGTCACTTCTATTTTCTTTCCATTAAATTATATCCAGCCAATTCACTCAAGAGAGAAAGAGAGTCAAAGAGGAAAGAATGGGTCGTTCCTTCGTCGAAGCACCCAAGCAACATCATCATCATCACCCGACGCAAGTAAAAATAGAATTGTCATCGCTTCTCTTTGAATCCCATGATTTCTCCTCAAATCCAAAAAAACAAGAGATTTGTCGGGATTTTCTTCCACTCGGGTGGTGGCCTACAGTTGTACAGATATGTCCGCCTGAGGTGGGTACAGCAAAAATCATTTCTTCCACTTCCACCCCAGGTACGTAAGTACGTACATTCATGCATGGGAGGAGGAAGAAAGAGAAAGCGAGCTCCGTATACTTGACAACCTCACGTTGGAAAAGTATCAGCAGTCCTCGTCCTCAGTCCCAATTAGAGCGAGTGAGCCTACGCACAAAATCGTCCTTCTCTGCTGGTGACCTTATTGTTGTAACATGTTAAGCTGCTGGAAACTAGTTGTACTCAATTCTCGTTATGTTATACCCAAAAATATTGGAAATAAATAAGTCGTAGAGAAGGAGGAAGTGCAATTTGGCATGGTTGCTCCCTTCTTGGATGCAAGTGCACGATGCCACGGCCACTCATGCTCCTCTTCTTCCTCCCTTAGGAGGGGAGCTTGCGAGGTTGATAATAACAGATATTGGTGCCCTTTGGATATGTGGTAGGGACCCATGAGTGTACTAAAACCCTGAAGTAGTTTGACTCCATGGCCACATTTGCGCCCGCCACACCCACTCAAAAATGTCCAAAAAACGCTTTCACCCCAGTTTTCACTCACTCAAATCCACGCCAAAAATCCAATTTTACTCGGATTTTGAAATTTCTTTCACCATTATACTCCCAGATAGTTGCTTTCTTCAATCCAATATCAAACTCAATTTTTTCGAAATTTTTAGTATTTTTAAAATTTAAAATTCTGAATGAGCATTGTTGTAGTCATCAACAAAACAAATTATGTTTGCGAAATAATCATCAATAAAATTGCGTTTGATATTGGATTGAAGAAAGCAACTATCTGGGAGTATAATGGTGAAAGAAATTTCAAAATCCGAGTAAAATTGGATTTTTGACGTGGATTTGAGTGAGTGAAAACTCGAGTGAAAGCGTTTTTTGGGCATTTTTGAGTGGGTGTGGCGGGCGCAAATGTGGCCATGGAGTCAAACTACTTCAGGGTTTTAGTACACTCATGGGTCCCTACCACATATCCAAAGGGCACCAAGATCTGTTATTATCAACCTCGCAAGCTCCCCTCCTTAGTACGGACAACGAGGAAGAAATACCACTGCAACCGGGCCTGATGGACAGCAAGGCAAGTAGTTGTAGTTTTACAGCAGGAAAGAGCTGTCAACCAGGAATTGCGAACGCATGTTCAAGTGAAATACTTGTGCCACTCTTTTTTTTCTTCTTCTTTTCCTTGGAAAATAATTTTCCTCGGAAACCAAGTACGGTCTGCTTGCTCTGCCGTTACATTTTCTTTTGCGTCACGTCATGTATGTCATGCTGGGCTCGCTTGCAATGATCCAAACTCTACTGCTCAATAATCCACTTCTACATACTGTGTACGTACATGGCTGAGAAGAACTCAACTTTTTACACTTTCTCCGCCGCATGATAATTGATTGGGGACTGTGTCAGTGTGTCTCTTTAACTCGCTCGCCTTATTTTTGCAATTTTCTTTCACAAACTTTGCTAATCCTTCACGTTCTGCTATTCGCTCCCTCTTTCTCTCATGTGTACGACATGTCTAATCTGCAAGGCATGACTATGTATGCGAAGGAGCTTGTCCCAAAATGTGCACTTGCTTTAGCCAGCACGTAGACAGGGATGACTAAAATCCACGTTGAAGATGTTATTATTTATTCCGCAGTCTATTCACTGTGTATCTAATCGAATAGAATTTACGATAACGGACTCCCATGAAATTAATCAGGGAAACTTTGATTGAAACTTTCTCCTCTGCGTTGAGACTGAGAAGCAGGTCTAAAATTATTTGGAGGCCATAGCAGACCATTATATTGGGTACGTTACGCATAATTCAGTCGACCTTTACAGGTGGAAAAAAACTTGTAACGAGAGCCATTTACCAAACTATTGGTTGGGACCACCCTGCAGTGGTTTCAGAGCAAGTTTCGATCCTCTAGGCAACAATAATGTGTAAGAAGTCTTCCTCCACGATCGGAAAGTATTCCCCAAAGACAAACTTATACTTTTTTCACCTGTCGCTAATGGCACATGGACACGGAAGAAGGAAGTTCGGTGTATCTACGGCTGGGCAAAAATGCGGGGATCACAACCACCTACCGCGGGCATTAGATGGTTTCCACGTTAAGTCGACCTTTACTCTATAAAACAATGGATCACTACATTACTGATGGGAAACGTGGCTTCCTTTTTCTCTCGCATTTTGGCTTTCACTTCCTCTCTCCATTTCAACCCTGGGTTGGAGACTGGGCGAAAAAAGGCACGATAAGTCAAGGCTTTTGAATTAAAATGTGGATAATAAAAAAGTCTCTGCTGCTATGGCCGAGTCTACTTTCGTTTCGATTTTACTGCAAAGTGCCACTCACCTGAACCATCCGTCCCTATGTATTTGCCCCATTTTATTTCATTTAACAAGAGAGAGCTACGCAGTACAAAGTCGTAATAAGCGAACAGAGAGAATGAGGACGAGGGTCATTTCATTTCTGACTCTCTGCTGCTGCTGCTGCTTCTGCAATAAAATAGGTTTGTCTGTCAACTAGCCAACTACATACAGATCTCGCTCGATCCTGGGGCTGATAATAGGATGAGATGGCGAATAAAAGTAAAAATCCTCTCTTCGTTTTCTTGTATCTCGTTGGAGATTTTTTAATTAAACTTACTCCACCGCATTCTTGCAAGTTTCGGATACATTGAATGTATGAATTCCGCCTCCGTCAGCGGAATAAATTTGCGTAGATTTTGGCACACAAAGTTTGTATGTACATGATATTGAAAGTGGGCCCAATTACCAAGTTTTCCAGGTATAGCTTGTCCATGCACACGTTGATTGGTACAAAGAGGAATATTTGTTTAGAAGTTTGCCTGACGTGATTGACTGACTCGGCTGGAAACTTTGGTTGGTTGATAAAGCAAACAGTGGTGGTGTGTGGCGTAATAAGTAAAGTGTCAGAGGGAGCACTGTTCCAGCAGCTACGTACACATTGCGAGAAGAAAGACGTCATGATCTTGCTCTCAATTTTGAAACGGGTTTGCCAAAATTTAGCCGAATATTTGAATGTGCCAAAAATTTGTCTAGGATTTATGCCTGAATTTGTACTTTTTGATGCTCAAATTTAAACCCTTTTTATCCTAACCAAATTTGTACACGTTTGTGTCTTGATAATTCATAAGAAAGAATTTACCAATTTCGATGATATTAAAAAAAAACATGTACATATATATATTTGTAATGATAGAAATTTCATACAAAAAGCCTAGATTTTCTTACACAAATTTAAACTCTCATTTTTTAGAATTTAGGCTTTTAGTACAATTATTTTATTTTCCAATGTAAAGTGGATTGAAAAGTTGGTCATGCAGTTTTAAGAATCTAAAAATAATTGCGTCAACAAATTCTGGTAAAGCTTACTGAGAGCTTTCACCGACGGGCATCACGTTCTACACCCATTCTGCCCTAGTTGTCGTGCTTTTTGATGAAACAGGAAGTGTGACGTCTCGACTAGTTCGTTACATTGATCAAAAGCCTGCAAAATTCGAGGTTTCCTCTCCCCATTCTCGGCAACCAATCCTTTTGTAGTGCTTTCTTTATTATCACAACTTCCAGAAACCAGACTAGAGCCAAGATCAAATACGGCTTGATTTCCACCGAGGAGTGAGAGCAGTCAGATTAGCTCTCAAAAGAATAAATAATACACAATTCCTTGCTGCGTATGCAAAATAAATGTAAGTAAGTAAGTAAATGATTTATTGCGAGATTGTGTATGGCCATAGCCTTTACAATCATTATTTAAATTTAGTATACATATTCTTACAATCTATTGGCTGGATCTTAAACTATAAATTTTCTCAACTAAAGAGCATAATGCAAAATAAATGTAAATGAACGAAATGATTGCTTACTTTCACCAACCTCTGACGGTAGCAGGATACAAATTTCCATTTGGTTAATTAAGCCATATTTTTAGCCCTGTTTATTACATATTTTCC